TTTTATGATTCTCAGCCTCTAATTCACGAGTCTCTGAATGATTTTACATTTTCATTGTCAAAGTACAGCCATTCAAATCCAACATTTAACATAAGAATCAAAAACACAAATCACACCTACAAATGTAAAAAATATTAAGAAGCATAGATTCAGGTTCAGATCGTTTTGTAGTACATGTAGTATCAGTAGCACACCAATAATTCGTACAAAGAGGTACCTAAATTGTCCACACTCACTGACTGTGCCTCTTTAAAGGACCCGTGTTAAGTTTGAAAATATGTTTTTATAAAACATGTACTATTTTTAATGACTTTTAAAATGGTTTACCAAAACTGTACATACTGCCTCTTTAACAGATGTGCTTTTAAGATGCATTGTTTTTGAGATTTATGATCAAGGAAGAAAATAACGAAGGAAGTAATTTTAATGAAACCAGATATCCAACAATAAGTGCAGTAATTCATAACAATGCGTCCTATCTTTTAAATCATAAAAACATATCCATCTTGTAAATATATCATGATCTTGGACTATTTTTCCACTCAAATATACTAACCCAAATTTGAAGCAGTTGGCAATTGAGCTTAAGACTGAATAACTCACAAAGACAAGAATATAAGTTATTAACAATGGTGGTAATACATATGATAATATTATTTGGTATGGTGGTTTGGTCCAAATGCCAGGTGACAACATCTACCACTATGACTAAGTGCATACAATATGCGAGCCCTGAGAGCATGAAGTCTGTTTGCGATGATGTTATTTCAAGGATATTGGAAAACATGCAGAGGAAAAATGAAGAGATAGCTGCATTGAAGGAAAATGCAGAAAATGAAAACCTTGAAATTGCTGCATTGAAAGAAAATGCAGCTACATTGATAGAAAATGCAGAAAAAGAAAGAAGTGAAATAGCTGTATTGAAACAAATTGCAGCTGCATTGAAGGAAAATGTGCAAGAACAAGCACTTGAAATTGCTGAATTAAAGGAGTATAATCGAGAAAGTGCTGAATTAAAAGAAAACCCATGGAGTGAAATTGCTGATTTGAATGAAGTGATCAAGAATCTGACATACAACTGCAGCCATGTAAGTATGGAGTTAGATCATTCTCACATAAGAGAACTTGAACTGAATGTGTAGATCAGTTATGGTCCCCTTGGATTTTCCTGTTTATCGGGAGTTTTAACAGTCTCTGATTAATAAGGAAAACAGTTGTAATTAAGTGCCCGAAAAAATGATTAATGTTGCTACTGTCAAATGAATTCCAGAACCTCAGACAAATGTATTTAATGGTCTCTCATTATCTTTAGATAGAATAACTAACTTTGCCTGAATGTTTAAGACTATGTTTCTTTATTAATCTTCCATTGTTGGTAATTATGAATGCATTTTGTTTACACAGGTGAAAAAAGGTGAGCCTGGATCTCCTGGAATAGACTGAACACCTGGATTGAATGGAATACCTGGATTGAATGGTACACCTGGATTGAATGGAATACCTGGAGTTAAAGGTGACATTGGCCCCAGCGGTCCAAAAGGAGACACTGGTACACCTGGTGCGGTCGGACCTAGAGGTCAGAAGGGTGATATTGGTGAACCTGGTGACCTTGGGCCAACTGGTTTGCCCGGATTACCCGGATTGCCCGGAATACCTGGAGTTAAAGGTGACACTGGGCAGTCTGGATCAAACGGAATACCTGGTCCAAAGGGTATACCTGGAATGAATGGAATACATGGTCCAAGGGGTGTACCCGGAATACCTGGTCTAAAAGGGGACGCTGGAATACCTGGTGAGGTTGGGCCTAGTGGAGTGCCTGGATCAAATGGAATACCTGGAGTTAAAGGTGACATTGGACCTACTGGTCCAAAAGGAGACAGGGGTATTCCTGGTAACATTGGCCCTGCTGGTGTGCCGGGGTTGAATGGTAGGCCTGGAGCTAAAGGTAAAACTGGTACACCTGGATTGAATGGAACACCTGGTCTGAAAGGTGACATTGGCCCTATTGGTCAAAAAGGTAACATGGGTCCTAGTGGTCCAAAAGGTAATATAGGTCCAAGTGGTCCAAAAGGTAACATAGGTCCTATCGGTCCAAAAGGTAACGTGGGCCCTCAAGGTCCAAAAGGTAACATTGGCCCTGGCGGTCCACAGGGTAATATAGGTCTACGTGGTCCACCAGGCGGCATTGGTCCTAGTGGTCCGAAAGGTAGCTTAGGCTCTCGTGGTCCAGCAGGCAGCATGGGTCCTAGTGGTCCGAAAGGTTGCATGGGCTCTCGTGGTCCACCAGGCATCATTGGCCCTAGTGGTCCGAAGGGTAACACTGGCTCTCGTGGTCCTACAGGCAGCATGGGTCCTAGTGGTCCGAAGGGCAACACTGGCTCTCGTGGTCCACCAGGCAGCATTGGCCCTAGTGGTCCGAAGGGCTACACTGGCTCTCGTGGTCCTACAGGCAGCATGGGTCCTAGTGGTCCGAAAGGTAGCATGGGCTCTCGTGGTCCACCAGGCAGCATTGGTCCTAGTGGTCCGAAGGGTGACACTGGCTCTCGTGGTCCTGCAGGTAGCAGGGGTCCTAGTGGTCTTAAAGGCAGCATTGGCTCTAGTGGTCCGAAAGGTATGAAAGGTGATATAGGACCTAGAGGGCTACCAGGGCCAAGGGGACCCCAAGGCATTAGAGGGGCAACTGGTCCAAGGGGAGCCCAAGGTATGAGGGGTTTACCTGGCAGTAAGGGCAGCTCAGGTATTTCTTCAAGATCTCGCTGGAGTAGACGAGGAGGGGGACGTTTTTTCTAATAATATCTAACATACAAACTACGCAGGAAGTGCTGCGATAAGGCCCTCGTCAAACCAGTTTGACCCATGGAATGATATAATGTGGTCTAGTGCAAAGTTTCTGTAAATATTAAATATTCCGCCTTTGTGAGAAAAAAACATTTAGTTCACTGGTTCACATGTGTAGTAACCATATAATAGTATTTACTATTCATCGTTGCATGTATCACAGCATAGAAAAAGAGAATCCCAAATCACAGGTAGTAATCATAAGCACTCTCCTGCAAAATTCGCACATTCGAGTAAAAAGTCGTGAGATTTGGGGAATTTTTTTTTGAAAACGAAGGTTCTTAAGTTCATCGACCTAGCTTATTCTTGTTAATATATTCAGCTAACGGAATGTGTTTCACATCATCTGTGTTTTTAGGATACTTATATAAGTCGTAGGTTGTTCGTGACACTGCACAAAAATTGAAATCTAAACTGTGTGTCAGTTTATGAAGAAACTTGAGGAAAGCTGACGTCACTCATGGATGAATAGATCATGAACAGATAGGTTATTTATCGTAAATTGTGTTAGATGCAGTTTTATGACCAACCTGTGCGTGATTTTTACTCCGAAGGTGCGATTTTTACCCGGATCGTGCGGATTTTGCAAGGAAGAGGATAATGTGTGGCATATCACAGTCCGAAATGTCATTGCGAAAAAATCTTAAGAATCTGAGGTGGTTTTGGTTATCAAAATAACTTCAAAAAGTTATAAAAAGAACTTTGAATTGATGAATATCATTGTTCTTGTTGCATTTTTGGTGTACCTGATCTGAATATACAGCTTCATCTACAATGCATCCCTCATCCCCATCCACTCTGTGACACAATCAAATCTATAAATCAATTATTCAATTTTATTCTTGTTTTTTGTTTTATCATTGTACACATTGCAATGGGTCAAATGCATGCATGATAACAAATCTTATGTAGCATTTTTAATATTAATAAAAATATTCTATTAAATAGCCAGTAACTTTTGTTATTTTTATAAGCAGAATTATTGTTGATTATGTTCATATTGGGATGTGAGATCGAAGAAAATATTTCACTCTACTTTCGGAACATCATCTTTTGAAAGTGTCACATGTATTCACCTCAGTAGTGTCAAATATTTGTTCAATCCCAAATCCCAATATAAATATATTAAGGTACCAGAATTCTTCACTCTAACCAACCGTGCCTCTTTAATACGAGGGATGATCAGGAATTTCTGGACCGTTGGATCTATTTTTGCCATTTTTATCCTTTCTTGGTGATTTTTTCACACAATATAACCCAAATATATAAGATCACACTACGAAGATTTCATTGTGCTATGACATCATTATCCTATTATTTATAATACCATGGTAATCGGCGACGCAACAAGAAAAAATACCAAAAGGGCAGATACGTTATTGCAAGCTTTTATGACAGCTCTTACTTAATATGATTTGACCACAAAAAAACAAATGCGTTTGGTTGGCTAATATGTTATCTTCAATAAGGGGCAATAGAATGAAAGCAAAGTCGATTGGATTATCTCTTAGCTGTCATTAATCCACCCATCATCACCAATTTTCCCCAGTTATGAGCCAATTTTCACCAAAAATGCAGAATTTTATTCCAATTTTTAAATTGAAATGTACTTCAAGTCATGATTAACTTCTGAAAAGGAAAGGGGAGTCTCCTTGGGATTAAGATAATCCGAAAAGCAATGACAAATTGAGGTCAAATATCTGGCCCTAAAGCAACATTTTTTGAGAAAGATTGGGGGGGAGGGGGGATATTACATATTGATCTCCAAAAATAATAAAATAAGAAAGGGATTATCTCATAATCCATTTGTCATAATGTTAGATATTCTTTTAAGATACATTGTTAAAGAGTTCCGTCATCAGAGAAGGAAACATATTAAGGGGAAAATCTTTGAATGAAACCAGATACCCGACAATGACTCCTATTAAAATACATCCTATTTTTTAAATCATATGATAAATATCCACTCATGTAAATATCTCATGATCTTAAATGACTTAAATGTTTTGCTCAAAAAGGTTATCCCAAAGCTTTACAGCAGTCAATTGAACTAGAGACAACTCAAAAAGACAAATGAAATTACCAAGATGATGCTTATACATATGTTAATATTATTTGGTATGGTGGTTTCATCCAAGAGCCAAGTGACAACTTCAACCAATATGGCTAAGTGCATACAGTACACAACACCCGAGAGCATGAAGTCGGTTTGTCATGATGTAATTGCAAGGATACTGGAAAACATTCTGAAGGAAAATAAAGAGATAAATACATTGATGGCAAATGCAGACAAAGAAAAACTTGAAGTAGCTGCATTGATGGAAAATGTAGAAAGGGAAAAAATTGATATTGCTGCATTGAAAGAAAATGAAGCTGCATTGAAGGAAAATGTACAAGAGCAGGCTCGGGAAATTGCTGAGTTGAATAACGTCATCAAGAATCTAACCTATAAATGTAGCCAAGTAAGCATGAGTGAGATCATTATCACATCACATTTAAAAAAAAACTTCCACAGAATGTGTAGAATTATGGTCCCCTGAGGATTTTTTTCATCCGTTCATTTAAGCCCTGTATACACTGTAAATTGCGTTTCAATCATTTAAATCGTTTCAATTCATGCATCATTTCCTCTGTTTCAATGGTTGCGTCATTTAGAGCATTTCAATTGTTTCAATCGATTCGCCTTCAAAATGATTAATCAGAAAAATAATTGTAATTAGACGCCCGTAAAATTGATTGAGAGGGAAAGAGCAACACCGAGGGTCATAATAGAACGCCAAACATGGGTTTCCATGAACTGAGATTTGGAGAATTGATCCAGTTTAGCAAAACTTTCTACAATAATACATAATATTTATCTTTATATGCTATTTTTTAAAGACCATGTCTTTCAAAACTGAGGACCGATATTCCGAGGAACAGTAATACTCATTTACACTGCAACAGCTTCTGCCCCGTGTCATTTTCTTAAGAAAAGTTAACCAGAATGTTTAATGTTTGTTTACTAAATTACCATTGTTGGTAATTATGATATTTGAAATAATTGAATGCATATTGTTTAAACAGGTGAAAAAAGGTGAGCCTGGATCTCCTGGAATGGATGGTACACCTGGAATTGATGGTACACCTGGATTGAATGGTACACCTGGAGTGAATGGAATACCTGGAGTTAAAGGTGACATTGGCCCTAGCGGTCCGAAAGGAGACACTGGTATACCAGGTGTGGTCGGACCTAGAGGTCAGAAGGGTGACACTGGTGAACCTGGTAACTTTGGCCCTACTGGTTTGCCAGGAAGGAATGGAATACCTGGTCCGAGGGGGGTACCTGGAATACCTGGTCCAAAAGGAGGCGCTGGAATGCCTGGTGAGGTTGGGCCTAATGGAGTGCCTGGAGTTAAAGGTGATATTGGACCTAGTGGTCTAAAAGGTGACACCGGTGAGCCTGGATTGAATGGAGTACCTGGTCCAATGGGTGTGCCTGGAATACCTGGTCCAAAAGGAGACGCTGGGATGCCTGGTGAGGTTGGGCCTAATGGAATGCCTGGATTGCATGGACTGCCTGGAGTTAAAGGTGATCTTGGACCTAGTGGTCTAAAAGGTGACACCGGTGAGCCTGGATTGAATGGAGTACCTGGTCCAAGAGGTGTGCCTGGAATACCTGGTCCAAAAGGAGACGCTGGAATGCCTGGTGAGGTTGGGCCTAATGGAGTGCCTGGAGTTAAAGGTGATATTGGACCTAGTGGTCTAAAAGGTGACACCGGTGAGCCTGGATTGAATGGAGTACCTGGTCCAATGGGTGTGCCTGGAATACCTGGTCCAAAAGGAGACGCTGGGATGCCTGGTGAGGTTGGGCCTAATGGAATGCCTGGATTGCATGGACTGCCTGGAGTTAAAGGTGATCTTGGACCTAGTGGTCTAAAAGGTGACACCGGTGAGCCTGGATTGAATGGAGTACCTGGTCCAAGAGGTGTGCCTGGAATACCTGGTCCAAAAGGAGGCGCTGGAATGCCTGGTGAGGTTGGGCCTAATGGAATGCCTGGAGTTCAAGGTGATATTGGACCTAGTGGTCTAAAAGGTGACACTGGAGAGCCTGGATTGAATGGAGTACCTGGTCCGATGGGTGTGCCTGGAATACCTGGTCCAAAAGGAGACGCTGGAATGCGCGGTGAGGTTGGTCCTAATGGAATGCCTGGATTGCATGGCAAGCCTGGAGTTAAAGGTGATCTTGGACCTAGTGGTCTAAAAGGTGACACTGGTGAGCCTGGATTGAATGGAGTACCTGGTCCAATGGGTGTGCCTGGAATACCTGGTCCGAAAGGAGACACTGGGATGCCTGGTGAGGTTGGGCCTAATGGAATGCCTGGATTGCATGGACTGCCTGGAGTTAAAGGTGATATTGGACCTACTGGTCCAAAAGGGGGCAGGGGTATCCCTGGTAACATTGGCCCTGCTGGTATGCCTGGGTTGAATGGAATGCCTGGAACTAAAGGTAAAACTGGTACACCTGGATTGAATGGAACACCTGGACTTAAAGGTGGCATTGGCCCTATTGGTCCAAAAGGCAACATTGGTCCTATTGGTCCAAAAGGTAACATTGGCCCTCACGGTCCACAGGGTAATATGGGCATTAGTGGTCCAAAAGGTGACATGGGTCTCAGAGGTCCAAAGGGAAACACGGGACATAGTGGTCCAAAGGGTAGTATGGGTCTAAAAGGTAGCATGGGCTCCCGTGGTCTGAAGGGTAGCATGGGTCCCAGTGGTCCCAAAGGTAGCATTGGCCCTCGTGGTCTGAAAGGTAGCATGGGTCCTAGTGGTCTCAAAGGGAGCATTGGGTCTCCTGGGTTGAAGGGTAGCATGGGTCCAAGTGGTCCCAAAGGCAGCATGGGCTCTCGTGGTCCTACAGGTAGCAGGGGTCCAAGTGGTCCCAAAGGTAGCATTGGGTCTCGTGGGTTGAAGGGTAGCATGGGTCCAAGTGGTCCCAAAGGCAACATGGGCTCTCGTGGTCCTACAGGTAGCAGGGGTCCTAGTGGTCTTAAAGGCAGCATGGGCTCTCGTGGTCCTACAGGTAGCATGGGTCCAAGTGGTCCCAAAGGCAGCATGGGCTCTCGTGGTCCTACAGGTAGCATGGGTCCAAGTGGTCCCAAAGGCAGCATGGGCTCTCGTGGTCCTACAGGTAGCATGGGTCCAAGTGGTCCCAAAGGTAGCATTGGGTCTCGTGGGTTGAAAGGTAGCATAGGTCCAAGTGGTCCCAAAGGCAGCATGGGCTCCCGTGGTCCTACAGGTAGCAGGGGTCCAAATGGTCTCAAAGGCAGCATGGGCTCCCGTGGTCCTACAGGTAGCAGGGGTCCTAGTGGTCCCAAAGGTAGCGTTGGCTCTCGTGGGTTGAAAGGTAGCATAGGTCCAAGTGGTCCCAAAGGCAGCATGGGCTCTCGTGGTCCTACAGGTAGCAGGGGTCCTAGTGGTCCGAAAGGCAGCATGGGCTCCCGTGGTCCTATAGGTAGCAGGGGTCCTAGTGGTCCCAAAGGTAGCGTTGGGTCTCGTGGGTTGAAAGGTAGCATAGGTCCAAGTGGTCCCAAAGGCAGCATGGGCTCTCGTGGTCCTGCAGGTAGCAGGGGTCTTAGTGGTCCCAAAGGCAGCATGGGCTCTCGTGGTCCTACAGGTAGCAGGGGCCCTAGTGGTCCCAAAGGCAGCACGGGCTCTCGTGGTCCTACAGGTAGCATTGGTCCTAGTGGTCCCAAAGGTAGCATTGGGTCTCGTGGGTTGAAAGGTAGCAGGGGTCTTAGTGGTCCCAAAGGCAGCATGGGCTCTCGTGGTGCTACAGGTAGCAGGGGTCCTAGTGGTCTTAAAGGCAGCATTGGCTCTAGGGGTCTGAAAGGTATGAAAGGTGTTATAGGACCTAGAGGGCTTCCAGGGCCAAGGGGGCCCCAAGGCATTAAAGGGGCACCTGGTTTAAGAGGAGCCCCAGGTATGAGGGGGCTGCCTGGCAGTAAGGGTAGCCCAGCGACAATTCCTACAAGGAGATTTTCTCGCTGGAGATTTAGAGGATAGTACAAGGTTAACTATAGTTAGAAAATGTAAAGGGAGTGGTACGGTAAGGCTAAATATTATTTATTGCACCACTCCCTTTGCATTTCGTTAATAGTAAATAACCCAATGACTTTAATTAACTACTTTTTACCCCAAAATGATGCAATGTACCCTATTTTAATGTTTCTGAGAATATTATGCTGATGTTAACTTTTTTGACCGAGATATCAGTCATTTAGTTCACTGGATCCAATGTGCAATAACAATTTAAAAAAGTAACTATATTATCCACGAAGAGAATGGACACAAAATATAAGAATGCATTCCGAATATATTGTATGAATATTCATAATTTCTGCAAAGGTAGAATGACGTTGAGACTAATGTGAAAGATCAAATTTTGGTGACCAAACTTACACTGAAAACAGTGGATAGCACGAGTTTTCCTATATGAAAAAATAACGCTCGGTAAGATTCATTATGGTGGTATATACAAAATAGCCACAGATATTGCACCATAGTATACTTTGAGAAAATAGACCTTTCCAATAAATCTTTAAACCTTTCAATGAATGAACCAAGGAAACTTAAATGTTTGCTTGATGTATGACATCATACTTTGCGAGCAGCAATGTTTGTAAGATTTTTTGCGAATAAGTAATAAGCCTCTTGTGCCCTTTAACTGTAAAAATGACATCATAATCAATAGAAAGAGTATGATTTGTAAGAATGACACCATAACCAATAGAGAGAGCATGGTTTGCAAGAATGACACCATTCTACTGTAGATTGGTTTATTATTTGTTTCTGTGGAATGATACCATAACAAAAGGTGGTATGATTTACTAATTGGTCTGTTGCCATATTTCAATAGCCTTCTATAACAATATAAAAGGGGTTTGATATAATTAGAGTTTGGAAGAGTTTTTTCTTAAGAATTGGCTTTCCATTAGGTTGTATGAACTATACATTAATCAATATGCACGGAATTTCAACTAATATACATCATTTTTTCAATGACAATTATACACACGTTATATATTGTATATCTTCTTTGTGCCAAGATAAAGATTGTAGTCATTGTATCTATATTGTATATCATCTAGAATCATTTGTACTCAATAGCATAATATTGTATTCAGTTTTACATTTATCCAAAAGTATGTAATTGTAATAGCTTTTCAGTTATTGGATAGCACTAATGTAGTATTATTTTTGTATCAGATCGCAATAATATTGTACATAGTATTATATCAATAAATGGCATTGTTGTTTCATCCAGTAGTATTTTTTTGCATTAAAGTCACTAATTCCATAGATACTCTAAAATATGTTGTATGAAGATGGACAGATGGTTGTATATTCTAAAATTAACATGCAATATCTTAAGGTTTTAGCAGGACATATTTTCCAAACTTTACAATTTAATAGCTGTACAATTTTCCAAGATTGACAATATCTGGGGACAATATAGGAGTACTATCTTCCAAACTTAACAATTGAGCGGTGCAATCTTCCAAACTTGACAATTGAGCAGTGCAATCTTCCAAACTTGACAATTTAGCAGTACAATCTTCCAAACTTGACAATTGAGCAGTGCAATCTTCCAAACTTGACAATTTAGCAGTGTAATCTTCCAAACTTGACAATTGAGCAGTGCAATCTTCAAAACTTGACAATTGAGCAGTGCAATCTTCCAAACTTGACAATTGAGCAGTGCAATCTTCCAAACTTGACAATTGAACAGTGCAATCTTCCAAACTTGACAATGGACCAGTGCAATCTTCCAAACTTGACAATTTAGCAGTACAATCTTCAAACTGGACAATTTAGCAGTTCAATCTTCCAAACTTGACAATTTAGCAGTACAATCTTCCAAACTTGACAATCCTTTTCCTTTCACATCTCAACTTTGTTGCTGATCATTAAAATCCGACAGAATGCTTCTAGAAGACCATGGTGTACACATAAATGTGTGGTGTACATCTTATTCTTAATAAAAGCCAACTATATCTTACTGATAACTAGACATGTTGCTTCTGGAAATTCACTTTTGCCTCTAGAAATAATCAATACTAAGAGGACATAATGTTTGGTATAGATGTTGTAAAAATACTTCGATATGCAAATTTTCAATTGAGTAAATCCAATTTTTTTTAATTTGCAAGTTTTTAAAATCCTTTTCATTTCTTCTTTTTCATTATTGTATAGTGTCATATTATTTTAAAAGAATAGCATGCCTTGGATATGATATCTTCCGAAGTGTTATTCAATAGTTAGGGAATTTTTTCTTGAATAATATTTGATCCCCATAACAAATGTATTTTCATGTGATATTTGATAAATAAAGTATCCCATGGGATTTATTTTGATAAATTATGATGTTTTTTATACCATCAACTCACTGCACTCAAATATAAATAGCAACTTGTGAAACGATGTCACTCAAAATCATATCACATCAACACATACTTACATAATACGGTCAAACGTCTTAACATCAACTTAGCAACAAACACCCTATATAACTGTATATATTTTATACATTATTTGTTTATTTATCCACTGGTATAAAGTACATGTATATGTTTTATATTATAGTCATGAGCAGCAAATATAGGCAGCTTATAAAATACATACATACATTATGAAGGCTTGGGTCAAAATATCAATGCTTTGGAAATAACATTATTACCTTCAATCTCCATGTTTGTGCCCCTCCCCTTACAAGATTATTTTTGCAACACATTGATATATGACGTGTGCCTTATAGAGACCACACCAAAGTATGCGCATGGTGTTTTGCTATGTGGTTAAATACATAAAGAACACACATAAGAACACACATGGATGGAGGGAATTTCAGTAAAAGTGTCATGACCCATTGACCCCATGTTAAAGAACCTCTGTAAATGGAACACTCTCTGAGTGGAGCAACTTTTTGTGGTCTCAAGAGTAATTCGCTTACACAGGTCCAACTGTATTCCTCTTGAACAGCTTTAAATGTTCTTACAATTCTATGTTCTGTACAATATCTATAGCACCAATTATTCTAGTATTTCAAAATTCACTCATACATGTAAAATCACTACAACAATGAAATAACACTGAAAAAATTGGATTTTCACATAGGTGCCAACAATTTTTTCTTATTCCTGCAGTCAAATGACACATTTGATTATGCAAATAATACTCATTCCAATTTTATCAAAGTTCATATTTTTTGCTGGGTACTTCTATAACACATAGAGGGGCTTTGATTCTAACTTTTGATTTTTATAATCATTTCATCCAACATCGTTGTACACACATGATTAATACACACATGATTATTTAGTTAAGTGCCACTGATACAAAAGTGTCAATTCCCCACAAAAAATAATTTGAAAATAGTGCACTCCAACTTTTGCAAATCTCAGAAAATGTGTCCCATATTGGATACTGTAATTGGCATTTGATATACATGTACATGTTTCACTCTGCAACTACAATTAATAATACTGTTAGCATTGTGTTGATTTTCTAAATCATTCATTAAAAAAAAGAAAAAATACTTCACAAAGTAAAATGTTATTGGTCATACTAGAACAAAAATATCTAAAGTACATAGTTACCCAAAAGAGCATAACTCATATTCTGAGGTTCTGTTTTTTGGGTCACCCTGTACAAACAATGGACATTTATTGGCAACAAATAATTACTGATTATAGTCATTTAGATCTGACCATATAAAATGTCATCTCAAAATTTTAATTCTGACAACAGTTTTATATCATATTGAATACCAGAGCATTTTCAGATTTTGCCAGATTCTGTCATGATTATTCAAATATATGTGATTTACATTATGGTGAATCAGATATCATTTTGGTGATATCACTAATTATAGATACATTACACTCATTTAAATACATCACTTTTTGTAGATTGAACAATAATAATAATGGGTAAAGTTATTTATGGGACATTTATGTGATAGACGTTTCCATAGCTCCAAGGATTCAACAAGATAATGGAAAAAAGTGACCAAAATCCTATCATCCTAAAACATTGAAAATACTGAGCAGCAATTAAAAATCAAATAATTATTAAATGGACTACAAACAAAAAGCATTAGAAGCAAAAATGAATTTAAAAATCTACACTACAAATTATAAAAATAAATGTGTAAAATCTTGTATTTCCTTTAAACTATATAATCCCAACTGCCTTAAATTAAACAATTCTATAATTATGTATTACTAATGCAATTCCTGTAAAAGGCACTTCTCTTGCATAATACAAATATAATATTTTCATATATCAAAGTGTAAAACACATGTCATGTCTAAGGAATCTGATTGGTCAATTACCATACTAATGCAGCAATCCGATTGGTCAATTACTAAGCTACATTTACAAAAGCAATTCAATAGATTAATCTACATATATCAAAGCAATATGATTGGTCATAACCTTTATCATTGTATCACATCACCAAAATGATTTTGAGAATTACAACTTTGAAGGCAATTAAAGCAAGAAAGCTTCAAGCATGAAAGAAAAACTAGAACACCATTCATGTCAGCTTTCATAAAGGGTTTGGCTCAAGGCAGTGTCTGGTCTCAACGTTGAGATGTGTAAAACGTTAAGTGTATACAATTTTATACATTAATACATGAAATATCCTTCCAGTTACCTATGTACATTTATATACAATGTACATAATTATAAGTATATGTAAGACAGCATCATTTTCAGTGTATGTATGTTTTGAAAATTCGTGATTCTTAAACTTTTCATCAAATCTATTATAATACAGTAATCATACAATACAATACAGCGCTTGAATTCTCATAATTTAGTGTAAATACTCACAGGATGAGCACATCAAACACTAACGTTAGTTAGCAAAATTGTAGCAATACATTTGGTTGAAGGAAATAACCATAAATGCCACCATTTTGAATTGTACAATTCAGTGCAATCACAATATTCTAAAAATCCTCATAAGGCTGGTTACATAGTAATAATATGATATAAAAATCTCATTTTGTCAATAAACAGAATTTAAAATCATTACATAATACAAAGATTTTACTGAACGTATGTGAGCAAAAATCTTTGTTTCTTATTCAGTATCTAAAACATGTGCATGAATCTGCTTTAAATTAAAACTTCAGTCATAATATATACTTCAATTTGTATTGTATGTCATGTACTAAAAATGTGGCATACAGTAAAATCTGTCCAAAGGAATTCCTCTATAAGAAGAACTCCTTTGAATGTGGAGCCCTTATAAGTGAAACACATCCTAAATGGAACACTTTTAGCGGAACCAAGGGTGTTCAACTGAAACATGTTTCACTGTATATCATACATATAACTAATTTCCATGGTAATGACTACATTATAAAAATTGATTATGACTATATGCACAATATATGACTATGTGATATATGACTATACATTAATTTCATCCTTAGTAACATCTTTTACATTAACACTTAATCCTGGAGCCTCAAGAGCTCCATCGTCATGGAAACCAGACGATGCATCTGACAATGCAGGTTCGTTAAGATCCCTAGCTGGAGTTGGCCTTGGAGGTGCTTGCTCAGTAGGGGGTTCATCTAGTGAATGTTCTGAATTATTTGATGTAGTCCTATTATAGCTTGGAGCCTCATTTTGAATTGGATCTGTGACGTAAAGTGGATTTGTTCGACGTTGAGGGGGCATTGCCGGAGCAGTATCTGGATATGGAGCAGAGTCTTGACGTGAAATAGGCTCTGTGTAGCCATCATTGATGATCCTCTTCGGAGGAAGAGGCTCTGGGAGTGACTCTTCCCTTGGTGGGGGAGGAGGTGTTGGGGGAATGTCCTCTAATAAACCATCTGTCTCTGATGGATCTTCAAGCTCAATTGCCTGATCTTCTGGGAGAACATCTGCGTATAAAGGATTTTTGCGACGATGTCCAGGGGACGGGGACCCCTCAGGGGGCATATTAACCCTCAACATTGGTTTCAACTCATTTCCATCATTAGTTTTATATTTGGTTTTCTTTTTTCTATAATCCTCATATTCATTTGGTGGTGCTTGTGGTTTATGAGAATCAGGGTCCTCGACTTTGATATTTTCAAGTTCTATGTCTTCACCATGATCCACTGGGTCCTCTTTCATTCGTGAGTAGTTATTTGCCCCATTCAGAAGTGCCGTACTGGGGCTTGTCGGAGTGGTAGGCCCATTCTCTGAAGGAAGTTGTATTGCAGCATATGGGATGTTCAGATCTATGTATTGCTGAAAAAGAGAAACACATGATCATGACTAGGTGATCAACTAGATTTCTTCACCTGAAACACCATGAAATCAAAGTAGGCATTTCACTACAGTGGCGGATCTAGAAATTAACAAGGGGGGCCCAAATTTGGCGTTTGAGAAAATATTTCTGTGTTTGCGAGGGCAAAAAATTTGGGCCCAAATTTTGGAAAATTAAGGCCCATTTGATGATAAATTGGCCCAAAAAAGGCCGTATTATGCTCAAAAGCCCATTTTTGAGTTCCTAAAAAATTTTAGGGGCCAAAAACTAAACTGTACTTCCACAAGTAGATGTACAGTAATGTTGAGGGACTCATAATTTTGAATCTATTCAATACAATACTAATGTTGCTAAGGATTTAAGGAATTGGGATGTTTCATAAAAAGACCTTCCACTTAACTTTTCTGAAAACTTCATAAGATGCCACATATAAGTAAAAATAGACTCAAAATATACATGTTTATGAAAAATTAACCTACAAGAATAAATACATGAACTGTGGAGTGTGAATATACCTGTTTAATATTGGCTTCAAGTAGATTTCCAACACGTTCTGTTATTTCTGAGAAGGTTGGTCTATCTTCAGGTTCTGCCTCCCAGCACATCTTCATCAATTGGTAGCTAAAAATACAGGGAAATTCACACGAATAACAGATCAGATCAAATACAGAGAAACTTACATGAAATACAGGGAAACTCACATGAAGAATTGGAAAAGTTAGGTTAAATATGTAAAATCTCATAAAAAACACAAAAATTTACGTAAATTATGGGAAATTCAGATGAAATGGAAACAAACTTCAATTAATTAAATACTGGAGAACTCACACAAACTCGCATCTCTCATGAAATATAGGGAAACTCATCTGAAATATTGGTAATACAGCAGAATGATAACTACCAAATGTCAGTCAGAAAAAAGGTTTGCAATAACAATTTTTGTTGGTGAAATAAAACATATATACAATATGAAAAATAGTAATCAAACAATCTAAGATTTGAACTTCAACAACTATACATGCAGAAAACAATGATTCAAAACGTAACATTTGGTGGATTTCACATGTACCAATATCACATAAAACCAAATATAGGAAAGTTGTTACCTTTAAATTTATCATAAAACATTCTTTTTTTTAAATAATTCAAAAACTGTTCCATGATTTTCTATTTTCTGTTGAGTGAACTTATTCTGATATTGTTTACATTAATCTTTGTTAATTTCTTTATTTTCCATTCTTACATTCCATTTTTTTAAGTATGACCACCATTGCATATCTTTAAGGATATTTCAAAACTAGAAAGTATAATATTTAGGTGTGATCTGAAGTTGAAAGTCTGACCTGGCATTGACTGCCTATACATTTAATGACACACCAGTTTGTTAAACAGTAATAGAACTTCTAAATTTGAACACCTCTCAGATATAGTATCAAATTGGCTATATAACCGTACATCAAATAGGATGTCTCGCCTGTTTTATCTTGAGCTATCACACGTAAATAAAATAAAAGAGCAACTGCTCGTAAATAAGCAAAAATGTGCACCTCTCAATATGAATACTTTGTTCACTTTAGTCAGATTTAACTGTAGCCCAATCAGTGTGGGTATTTTCACATATGCACACTGCACAGTTGCTGAGTAAGACAGCCATGGTGAAGCAATTACTACTCCTCTCGCTGACCAGCCTCCTGGTTTTGGCATGCACTGCTCAAGGTAAAATTCATGTAGGATAATATATAATCCTAGAGATTTTCTAAGTTTTTTGTTGCCATGTAAACTTCAGCAGAGGATACAGATTTGGATTCCATATTGTTTTTGAACATATGTCAGAAATCATGACTCTACATTTGTAGTTCACAAGCAGCTAAGATTCATTCCACATATGACATTGTATTGATATGTTACTGTAAATCCTGCATCACTACGCATAGGCATTTTATTCCAGATCGTAACCATAAGGGTCGTCAGTTTGTTGTTGCATTCATACCAGCAGCAAGCAGAGAAAGAAGAGGCTACATCGGCCTGGCTATTTCTGCTGAGGAAACAACAGAAGTTGAGATATTTGACAGGTAAATTTATGTTAAATAAGGTCTTTCTTAAATGGGTAAAGAAGAGCAGGATATCATTGAGGTATTATCGCTCACCAATGGTCAATTGCGCTTTGAAAGTGGTCACACTGTACTGTAATAAATAGCTTGTTAAATGAATGCGCAAATTAATAAACTTGCAACTGCTTTTTTAACTGGATGTTGACAGGTGCTCCCTTTCTCTATTTATGTGGATGTCCCTTTTGTTATTTATGACAGTACTGATTTCCCCTGTTCCTGGGTTTATCATCCTCCAAACACAGGCCTCCAGAACTTGCATCTCCCACTTGGAAGAAGGAAGGAACTTCGTGGATGATGTCTAGTGCCCTGCGTTCAGAGGATGGGGTTTATTTGTGGAAGGTCCATTTTAAGGAGAAAGATGGAGTTTGAGTCTTAATTGAATTACAGTAAAACCATATATTTGGACATGTCTCTCATCTGAACACCTTTCAATGTGAACACTTACTGTCACATTTTTCTCTGCCATAGAACTGGATTCTTCAAAAACTTGCCCCTGCCAATCCAACCACTTTTGATTGGTCCAAGTGGTGTTCTAAGTAGACAGATTTCACAATACATATAATTATATTTTTGACAGTTTCTGATTTATTGATTCAAATACTAACTGGACCCAATTCATATTTATTCCAAATCAAACACCATGTTTTTCAGGATTACAGGAAATACTGATCTTCTCACAGTCCCCGGAGGAAGCACACAACTACATGACCTCCCGCTAGATTTACGAACACGTGAGGACTTTGAGCAAAAGGGAATTAGCGTGACTGCGACCAATCCTGTAAGTGTTGTGGGAATCAATCAATATCTGGGCACCGATACCTTCCTTGCACTCCCAGTTGAGAGTCTCGATACCAATTACATTGCTGCCACCTATAGGCCGAGTGGCATTGGATCGTATGCCTGCGTCACGGTTGTAGCATCACAGGATTTTACTTCTGTGAGAATTCTACGACATCGGGCTGGAAGGGCAGGGTATGACGCAGAGCCAACTGTAGTTGGTTTAAATAGACTGCAGACTTACACTTTGGTGTACTGGCTAGATGACATCACAGGCACCCTCGTAAGTGCTAGCTCGCCTGTTGCAGTCTTTACTGGTAATACATACGCAAGAGATTTCGGCCATATTGAAGAACAAATGCCACCTATAAGCGCCCTGGGGACTGAATTCATGTTGACGCCAGTTATGAGTGAAGGCTACAATCGTGACTTTGTTCGCGTCATTGCAGCGTATAATGACACAGAAGTGGAATTTCACTCTGTTGATTTTGGCTATTTCGAGACAATTGACCAGGGTCGAAATTATGATGTAAATGGTCGTTCGGAACGTCTCCCAGAGAATATCTTTCACAATGTTACATGTTCTCGACCCTGTCTTGTTATTCAGTGCAAAGGCTGGGACTCTAACCAATCATGGATGACTGTAGTCCCACCAATAAATCAATTTTCATCTGGAACCCATGTCTTCCCTGCTTTCAACCGTGATCGTTTCCCCGACTACCAAAGCTATGTTCAAGTTCTTATCCAATCAGGACGTGAGACTGGTATGACCCTAGATGGCGCAGAGATCGCTGAATGGGTGGATGTCCCTAATTCCACATACCGTGCAGCAAGAATCAGAGTTGACCCTGCTAGCCACACCCTAGAACACCCAGACCCGAATCAACGATTCTACAGCAATGTCTATGGTGTCCCTTTCCTTGACTTTGGATATGGTAACCCTGTTGGAATCTCCGTCAACAGGATCAACAGTATGGAAATGGAATTTCCACCTCAAATGAACTAAAACATTCCACTCAAATTCCACTAAAATATCTCGATTCTCAATATTTTAGGGTCGTTCAAAAAACTGCATGAAAGGTTTTCAGATACAATCAATTCAAATAGAGAGGAAAAATAAATGTGATAATGAATTGTAACAGATCTATTGTTAAGAATTACATTGCATAGAAATACATGTTAATAAAAATAAATAGCATGGACATTTTAATCAGAAAATGAAATGAAAGACAACATGTAATATAATACAATGTATGTATACGAGAGTTGTCCCAGAGCATATAGTGCATTACTTCTGGGACAACCCTCGTACTTAAATAAATTCATAACTTACATTTGGAATGAAGCAAATTGTGGTTTCTCCATTCTGTATCCATTTTTCAATTTTTCAATAAAAGTAGCATCAAGATCAACTCCGGGATAAGGAGTGCCCCCTAGTGAGAAAGTTTCATACAACAATATTCCATACGCCCACCTGAAAAGAATTATTGTATACAATACAGTAAGCAAACAGTATGCAAACAATTCTCTAAAGGGACCGTGCATTGGTCTTAACTTCATGATATTCCGATCAAATTTAACCAATGCCAGGTTATCATGGGGGATGGGGGTTGTACCACAATGAAATTACTTTGTTTTTCACAACTTTTGAGATTTTATTTTGACACAATCCCTTAAAACATTATTTTTTAATTCACAATATTTAGTAATTAAGAGCAATTTAATTGTATTAATCAAATTAGTTAAATGTATTTACCCCAGCCCAAATATTCCCCCTTCCCATATGCAATATATGGCTACTAACACTAATTACTCATTTCCAAAAATAAATATTATAGTATCCTTTAACTCATCCTTGGTGTAAGGGTATTTCTTTTCTTTCAATATGAATTGAGTAATAAATGAAGTCCTTTGAATGAAGGAGGCCTTTAACTTGGACAAATCATTTTGCAATTGTAATTAATTCAATTTATTCCTTTATAATATAATTGTATGTTTGACCAATCAGAGGAAATTACATGACAGCATCACTGCAATTAATTGATTCCTGTATTATCAAAACCAAAAGGGTACTTACACATCTGTTTTTACTGAGAATACTTTGTGTGTTAGAGATTCTAAGGCAAGCCATTTGATTGGTAGAGCTCCCTGAAACAAAATACAATAATGTCGTGGTTACTCTGGTTGCCATGGTTACCCTTTGCATGAGTTGCAGAGTATGTGCACTTCTCAAAAATTGGCAAATTCTAGGAAAAGTAAAACTATAGAGTTTCAAGTACACATGCAATTTTCTGTTTTTATTTCGTTTAGTTTTCCTTTACCTATTATGCAATTGCATAGTCCTGAACAAAGGATGAAGTTAAATGAACGACAAAAAAGCAATGTTTACATACCGCCCCCTTTTTGACATATTCCTCATATTTATACACATCCTTAGCAAGACCAAAATCTGCAATTTTCATGACGCGATCCTCGGCAACAAGTATGTTCCTCGCTGCAATATCTCTATGGACAAACTGAAAAACAGTACTGAGAAATAATCTAATTTGCATCTTATGCCTTGAATTATATCTCACATTAAATGAGCCAGGCCACAGGAAAAGGGGTCTTATCACAGATTATTTCAATATTCTGATTTTTTGTTTATCTTAAAAAGCCCAAAAAGACCTTTCAAATGAGGCATGACTTATGTTTTAACAATTTTTCAATGCATAAACAGACCAAAATGTTGGATTTGAATTTAGCACATTTCTCTTTTTTTTGCTCCTTCAAGATTTTTTAATTATCTCTTACCAGGTCCAACTAGGGAGATTCTACTAGTAATAACAGCTGGAGACTATCTAGTATAATTCCTCACTGGTTAGGATATTTACAAATAGTTCAGTTAGGAGTCAGTAAATAGTCAAATATCAATTTAATAACAAGAAGATTTTTTGTACGAAATATGACCAACTTCTATTGACCAAGTTGGCTATGAATTCATATTAGTATAGAATGGGATTTCAATATTCACAAGTACCTGTAGTTCTTATATTATTGAAGAATGGCAGAACATGAGTGGAGATATCTTCTACCAGGAGCTATTATGTAGATTTATGCCATACTTTTAACATATTGATACAAATATATTACACAATTAATACTTATTGGGATTTAATAGTGCTCACTATATTATATTCATCTACGTCACTTAATAACAAGTCACCAATTTTCCAAATTTCATTTTAGACTATTTTGTTTTGCTGATTCTAAACAATAGCCTAACTATCTTAACATTAAAATCAATTATAATGATTCAAAAATAGAATATTAGTAATATTAAAGGAATATCTAAACAAATAGGTGTATACTGAAAAGAATGAACGATGTTTTAAAGAGAATTGGAAAGAAATAATGAATAGGGACAGGCTGAACAAACATTTTCAATTCATTCAAGATTAATATATCTTCAAGAAAAATGTACCTTTTAAACCCATTAATGTGCACTTAAAGACACATAGCTTATACTTGTATACCATTAAAACCTGAAATCCATTAGTAGCTAATTACAATCACTTATAATGATTATTTGTTTAATTAATGGCAACCGTATAAATAATACAACATGTAGATGCAACAACGCCTACATCCTCCACATTACTGAAAATTATACATGTTCAGGGCTCTCACCAGGAAATATTTAGGGTGAGGTGGAATCATCATCAGCGTAACCGTTCCATTGTGATAAATCATATATATGATATGTTTTATCCTTTTACATGCTAATATTGTCTTTTACATGCTACTATTGTGTATTCAGTCAAGTTTAGACAAGTGGAAACAATCATGATTTACCAATAGGTTGTGATGGGACCTAAATAGAGTGTGGTGCTGCGTCACAGTCTAAAAGCCTAGCGAGAGCCCTGATGTTTATTATATTTAAAAACTGAAACAATAACCCAATAAAAAGAAAAAAAGTTACTAAGTTAATAGTAATCAATTGGATTTCAATAAAATTCATATCACATAACTTTTCTCTAAGAAGACATACATGCCATTTACCAGGCAACCTCATGATATGATTGATTCAAATCATGTGGTTCTGGATTGTGATTTTAGTTTTTCAATGGTGGGGAGGGATGGGGTTATTGGACACTGTTTCTTAGTATGTTAAAACATTGTTGGTGTTTGTTTTCAGATGAGCAGTCATATTTTAAAACTTTCTTTATATTCTGTTTTTATATTTCTGGGGTGTTTTGCCAATCCCTTCACTTGCGCTTATAATCCTAATGACCACTAATGTTACCAAACAAACTACATATTAAACGGACCCATTATTATAGAAGTTGTTATTAAATAGATGGATTGCCTATTTAGTAACCTGAGCTGAGTGGTATATTATTCTAAAAACTGCTTAGTGAATAAAAGTATCCAAGGCAATATTTATATAAGGCATTAATCGATTGATTTAATAATATGAAATATTTAAGTGGAAATACTTTGAGTTTAAGTAGAGACTACATTCATTTGACACTCAGTGACTTTTACATGTAAATACTTTAAACCAACATAACTTACATAACTTGGAATTTCATAATGGACAGGACAAATAGGATTTGGTCACATGATATGATTTTGACCAATTAGAGAATGTAGTTTGGTCACATGATCTGTCTTTGACCAATAAAAGGCTCATCACTTGGTCTATACCTGATATGACATTATGAAATATTTTTCTATGAAAACGTTTAAGAATTTTGGTTTGACAAATTATTTTGCATAGGCATATAGTGGAGCAGTAACAGTAAGAGAAAACATTACTCTGATGAACTGATGAATTTCACAAATCAGGCATTTGTGTGTTATAATAGAGATGCTCAAGCGAATTGCGAAATGAATAATTTGGAAAATATCAAAAATGTCAAATGTTGAATTGTGCAGAAAAGCAAGGAATAAATTTCAAAAGTATCTGATGACAATGAGTCAGCAGATTATTCAACTCAGATAATCTAGAAAATCACATCATTTAATGAATCAAGATAAAAACAATGTAGTATAAAATTGTTAATATTGTTAAATCATGACAGAATATGAACATTACAGAGACATTAGCGAACAATGAAGCAAAAGTAAAATGGAAGGGAATAAAATACGAGAAACTTTTGTCGAATTCACAGAAAATACATCTGCCCATGGTTGTGGTCAGATCCCAACAGCAAAATTCAAACTGACAAAAATTTTCTGGGGATTAACATTTCTTGGTTGTTTCACGTGGGCAACATACAGTACTGGAAATTTGATAGCAAGATATCTCAGTTACCCCACAAAGGATGTTGTTTCGATAGATTTCAGCGAAATACAATTTCCTGCCGTGACGCTGTGTAGTCTGCAGCCTCTGACGCTATCAGGGATGTTAAACTTACAGGAAAATCCTTTACCACCAGACCACCCTACATCAATACTACTTTATGTGATGCTGAATTTTAAAATCATCATTGATAAAAACATAGGAGGGCTCGGGAAGCGGTATCAGAGACAACTTAGTCGAATTGTATCCAATCAATTTATTTATGAAAATTCAGACGAAAAGAATACTGAAGGATTCATACATGATTTAAGAAGTTTTCTCCTGGGGTGTAAATATAACAGCAAGACCTGTGATTTGGAAAAACTTTTCATCACATACCAAGATGGTCAATTCTTCAATTGCTTTACATTCAACAGTGAATTGTTGGTCCCAAAAGCCTTTATAGTTGAGAAGACAGATCCAAGCTCTGGACTCAGCTTAGTCATATTTGTTGATGCCCTATCTTCTGCACCTGCTCATTACACTATATACAACCCAGATGACCCGACCAGTGGTAAAATGGGAGTTAGGGCTATCATTCATAGCCCTGGTACAAGGCCAATGCCCTTTGAAAAGGGCTTTGACATCCCAACAGGGTTCTCGACATCAGTTGCCCTCCAAGGGTCAATACGAAACCTAATGAGTGAACCACATGGGAACTGTACAACGGAAACACTTATCCCTGGCACAAATTACACATACTCCAGTGATACCTGTGTCCAAGAATGTAAGCAAGAGAAACTCATAAAAGAGTGTGGATGCAAAAGTTCTTTATTAACAGCAAGCGCTGATAAGCCTCACGTTCCATATTGCGGCATGTTTAATATGACAAATATACTGAGACAGATGCACTATCCGACTGATGATGAAGACATAACAATGGCAGTAAGAGACTTAGAAAGGATTGAATGCGAAGGTAATATCTTAAGATTATTTGCTTATCCTGCAGAAATCAACAAATGCGCCTGCAAGGAAGCATGTTCCAGTATGAAGTACACAAAGACAATTTCCCAGTCAGTATGGCCGAATGACAACAATCAAAATATATTTTACGAAACATATGTCAATGTTACCGATCACACACTCCGCCCGAACATTCTCTTTAAACAACAGAACATCACAGAAATAATCAATAACGATCTAATCCATAAAAATTTCCTGAGATTAAATATCTACTTTGAGAGCCTACAAGTAGAGACAACTTCAGAAGTTGAGGATTATCCACTGAGTCAGTTGATATCAGATATTGGAGGGAATATGGGGTTTTATGTGGGTATCTCAGTCATTACATTACTTGAGTTCTTATCTCTCACAGGGACGGTTCTCCTTTACTTCTTTAAAGACCGCCTGGCAAGTTGTGGACAATCTAAGACAACTAAGGTATCACAAATAAATATTCAACACGGTGACTCAAAACTTGATCACTATACGGATGGCTTTAAAGACAAGTATTGAGTAGGATCAGAAGTTTTTAAAGTACTGTAGTATGGAAAGCTTTTTAAGTAATGTATAGTATGGAAAGTTTTTAAGACAATACTGTGTGGTATGAAGTTTTAAAGACAAGTACTGAGTGGTATGGAGTTTTTAAAAAAAAGTACTTTGTAGTATGGAAAGTTTTAAAGAGAAGTATTGAGAAGTATCGAAAGTTTTAAAAGAAGTACTAAGTACTGTCGTATGGAAAGTGTAAATAAACAAGTAATGAATAGTATGGAACTTTTAAAGACAAGTACTGAGTAGTATAGCAATGTGGAAAGTTTTAAAGACAAGTACTGAGTACTGTTGTTTGAAAACTGAGGAGTATAAGAAGTTTAGAGACAATTATTGAGTAGTATGGTAAGCTTTAAAGACAAGTACTGAGTGGTATGAAGTTTTAAAGACAAGTACATACTTAGTAGTATGGAACGTGTAAAAAGACAAATACTGTATAGTATAGAAAATTTGACATATTCTGAGTAAGCTTGAAAAAATGAATATAAATCTTACTTTTCTTGATGCAAGATATTCCAGTCCACGTGCAATTTGATATGAGAAACAAATCAAATCTTTGGTTGTGACAGGGGGCTCTCTATGTGATTCAGGCACGTTAACATAATGTAGATCATCACTCGGGCCACCAGTGGCGCCACCTTCTGCCTCTAATTTTTTAAGTTGAGCAGGTGAGAGGTTCTGATCTGCTCCTGAAAATTAGATTTAATATCCACTCTGGAAATGATTTTAAATAATAATAGTCTGTAAAAAAGGTCTAAATTGCTTATGATTTTTCAACTTTATCATAAAATAAGTAAGAAACCTACTACATTCATTTAAATAGACATGAAAATATAGATTTTGAATGTGAGTAGGGAGTCTTATATTTACCCAATTTTATTATGTGCCACTGGCATAAAAAATGATAATAAGCAAAAAACAATAAAAATAATGCAAAACCTGTCTAATATGAACGCCTCTGGAACCAGTCAAAATTGTTCAGACAGGCAGGTGTTCACATTTCAAGTTTGTTTTACATTAAGGTCAATAAGATAACAAATTTGGGACTGAGCAAAGTGTTCACATTGAGAAGAGTTCAGATTAGAGGTCTTATTTATACAGGTCTTACTTTATATTATGGACGCTGGTTGACAGACATTATAATAAATTTGAACTTGAACCAAATTAAAGATAGGTAAATTCCCCATCCACTGGTATATAATATGACATGTTTTTCTCAAGAAAATCAATATTTATTTTTGAAATATGTGTCCCATTTTTTGGACCATCCTGTAGATGTGATTTGAAGTGTTTTCCCGAGTGAATAAAACTTACCTGGTTTTTTAGGCATCTCAAACACATCTTCATCGTCTGTGACATCACGGAATGTTGCACGATGCTTCAGTAAATAGTTGCGTAGGTTTCCATGAGGACAGTACTCCATCATTATGTATAGTTCACCTAGTGTGCAATAAAATTAAGTGTAAACCCTCGAAAGAAATTGTCTGTTTAGTGGTGTCTTCTGTTCATTGTAATATCTACCAAGTTAAACTTCTTTCTTAAAGGTGCAACAATTAGTGCAGTGGGGCCATTCAATGATCAAGGACCAGTGTCAAAATATATTTAAGTATGGATATTTGACCAATATTTTTATTATCCCCAAAGATACCCCCTGGATGCCTGGATTTTCAGCTGATGTTCCTCTGGAAATGTGGTGAATCTTAAATATCCATAAGTGGGACTTTCTTTTATAGAAGATTTGAACTGAATTTACACTTCTTAATGCTGACATTGATAGTTTATCCATACATTTTAAGAAAAAATAGGTATGTCAAAAAAGCTAAATGTTGCCCTGATAGCTCAGAAAAAGTAAAAAATTTCAAATGATCTCTCTACAGGCCTTGTTGCCCCTTTAATAGATACTTGTGATCCCAAGGTCATGTCCAAACCAACTATCTATACAGCCCAAAATGCCATGTAAATTTTAGTTTTATTTCTCTTTGGTATGTGCTTTTGCAATTACACAAAGTCTGAGTAAAGCAATAAAACACAGGATTTTTTCAAAAATAATTTCTGCTCAACAGTTTATTAACCAATATGGGCCCTAATCATTATTTATTCATACTGATTCATTATATTTTATATTCAGTTCATTTAATGTATGTATACATATAAAAATGATATAATATGTTGCCACAGTTTAATTCAAACTTCACCAAAAATGAACTTGACTTGTTAATTGTTGATTTTCCAGATTTCTTCAATTTGACCTTGAACTCCATAAAGATCTTCTATACACTTGAATTATTTGAGCTGTAATAGTTTACCACAAAAATCCCACTTACCACTTGCTATGTCCTTGGTAACTGCACCAAGTAGGTTCAATACATTAAGGTGGGAGCCGATGTGAATCATTATCTTAAGCTCTGACATCAGTGATTTCATTTGGTCATAATCAGTGCAATCTGAAATAAATAAAATCTACAATCAATTCCACAAATATGAGAGTATTCCAAATGTGTGATAAATATTCCAAACGTGTAAATACCACTTAAATGTATCAAGAATAATAGTTTACATATTTGAGTGGTATTAACACATTAAAATGCCATTTACATATTATGTCAGTTGCACATTTAATATATTTCAGTGGTATTTACCTTTGACTATTTTGACTGCTACAGAGGTACTTGACTCATAATCATTTACATATGTCATTTGCACATGTATTAATATATTTCAGTGGTATTTACCTTTGACCATTTTGACTGCTACAGGGGTGCTTGACTCATAATCATTTACATATGTCAGTTGCATATGTATTAATATATTTCAGTGGTATTTACCTTTGACCATTTTGACTGCTACAGGAGTGCTTGACTCATAATCATTTACATATGTCAGTTGCACATGTATTAATATATTTCAGTGGTATTTACCTTTGACCATTTTGACTGCTACAGGGGTGCTTGACTCATAATCATTTACATATGTCAGTTGCACATGTATTAATATATTTCAGTGATATTTCTCTTTCACCATTTTGACTGCTACGGGGGTGCTTGACTCATAGTCATTTACATATGTCAGTTGCACATGTATTAATATATTTCAGTGATATTTCTCTTTCACCATTTTGACTGCTACGGGGGTGCTTGACTCATAGTCATTTACATATGTCAGTTGCACATGTATTAATATATTTCAGTGATATTTATCTTTCACCATTTTGACTGCTACAGGGGTGCTTGACTCATAATCATTTACATATGTCAGTCGCACATGTATTAATATATTTCAGTGGTATTTACCTTTGACCATTTTGACTGCTACAGGGGTGCTTGACTCATAATCATTTACATATGTCAGTTGCACATGTATTAATATATTTCAGTGGTATTTATCTTTAACCATTTTGACTGCTACAGGGGTGCTTGACTCATAATCATTTATATATGTCAGTTGCACATGTATTAATATATTTCAGTGGCATTTACCTTTGACCATTTTGACTGCTACAGGGGTGCTTGACTCATAATCATTCAGACCGACTGCATCTGCCTTGACAACTCTTCCAAATGCTCCTGCACCTAACACCATACCTAAAAGCATAATATAACAAAGGTGTATACCCAAACCAGTTCCAAATGATTTTGTTAACACCCTCTATGTATGCTGAACCAAAAATGTAAAAATAAAAAGAAATCCATGAGAATAGATTTGATATGGGATCTGATATGTGAATTTGGCTGATACCAGATTTAATACAGGAATTTTGAATATTAATTCTATTCGCTGTTTATTTTTCAGGGAAAGCATGTTATTATGGAACAAATAGAGGTTATTTAATTGGGGGGATGGAATATGAATTTTATTTCCAGGGAAAATATGATATTGACCAAGGAAAATACCATATTGACCAAGGGCGAAATGAGGACATATCATACATCTCAAAAGTTTTAATATTTCTATTTTCATGTAAAGCTAGGTAGCTGAAATTCTTTTTTAAAAAAACATAACCTTGGTCCTTTTTATCAATGAATCTAGAAAGTGATAATTGAGAAGGTTCAGTTGTTTAAAACTAACCAAAATTGAGACGTTCTTTCGGAAATTCCCATCTTGGGTCATAGGCTATACTATCCGTCTGTTCTTCCATTGGTATGTCTGGATTGTAGTCTCCTTGGCCAGCCAATAACAGCGCAGTGAGGTCTTGCTGGAGAACGAGACCAACAATAATCACATGAAATATGCTAGATAGAAAAGTGGGGATGGAACGCATCGGAGCACTCCTTTATAAAATTCACGGGATATCTTTATACAGGTTGATCCAGAAGTAATGTCAAGATGTTGACATTTCAATAATACTGAAAATGAGGTGTGCAAACTGCAACCAGGCTCTGAGCGACCCTGGCTCTTATTGGTTACAATTCATTATGATGTACCTAATCATTTGTAACATATGTCTGGTTGCAGTTTATATGGACCCTACTGAAAGTTGGTACAAACGTTTCCTAAAAGTTATTGAGTTTATACTTCAAATACAGGGTGGGCCAAAAAACACCCCCTCTATCAGGAATATTGGCTAGGGGGTGGTTTTTTGGCCCACCCTGTATAAAGCTTCTGCTGTTCCAAGTTTCAAGAAGATTGGTCCAGTAGTGGAGAAATATATGGCAGCATACTTTATGTTACATCTGCCTCACCCTGTATAACTGTTTTGACAAATTAGAAAAATACATGGCAGCATACCATTTTGAAACCATCAATCAAGAACTATAAAGCAGTTTCACAATGGGCAAAGTCAAATTTTCATATTAAGAAGTAAAATATATGGGTTATATAATATATTAATCTAAAATATCATACAGGAATAGACTTATAATTTCAGAAAATCATGCAAATACCTTATGACGTTTGTATTTCATTCTACGTATGGCAATAGCCGCGATTATGACAACAAGGACTAATATAATGCATGGTATAAGTACAACCAATGCGATCTGCCCCCCTGTTAGTCCTGCTGTATGATTTTGTGCAATGGGTAGGGGGTCAATAGCTGAAAATAAAATGATAAAATGTATCAGCCTTATTTTCTGTAAAAACTGCTTATTCACTACACCAGCCATTCATCATTATCACTACCTTACGAGGCCTTTTTTCAAGGAATTAGTACTAAGTACTAGTTAAGAAGACTTATATTTTACGTTATTGACTTGATCAATAGGTCCTCGACCATTGGGCCAAGATTTGATTATGTTGCCCTTTGAAATGAGGCTACTGGTATATTATTACATATGTAACTGTAGTGGCAAATAATTTATTTTGAATCTTTTGAGACAAAGTCTAATATGTGTCATACTTACATCCCACATATAACGTTGCGCTACTTGATGCATTGCCCCCTCTATTGGTGGCTTCACAAGTATAGATTCCGGAATCATTGCGGGTTGCATTCATAACAGTTAACCTAAAATAAGTGGAAAAAATAGATTAGATAGATTGTACTAAAGAAACATGAGGACTTAAATAAAATTGTTCAATGAAACTCAAATCAAACCATGGGCATAATGCTATTTTTATGAGTAGTACGCCACCACGGGAACATAAGTTTAACAAAGTGAGAAATGAGCGTTCAGGAAATTTTGAAATTTTGATGTATTTTGAGTATATTTACAACCATCTGGTACGCCCGTGTGTACCAGGCGTACTTGCCGCTACTTCCATGATAGAAAACATAACATATTTTAAAACGATTCCTTATCAGGAGATCTACGGACAGACACATGAAATTAAGAATAATAGAAAGGACAATGTTTTTACTCACATTTCACCACTTGGAGAAACTTTGTGTAATCCTTCTACATTTTCTATGGATTCTCCTTGTTTTGACCATGTGATCTCTGGATCGGGAGCGCCCTCTGCCACACATTCAAATGTATGCTGTTCCCCTTTAAAAGACAATAAATTAATGTGACTGTCATATGAACTTTAAATGATGAATGTATATTACTTCACTGAGATATCTGATTTATACCTTCATGCTGAAAATCATACAGGGAGTCCATAAAGTATCTTTACAATTACAAAGGCTATGTAAAGTGTAGAGACTTAATGTACACCCTGTATTTTTTCTTGCTATCTGGGATAGCACACCATATAAATATTTTTCAAAAATTTATCATTTGTAATCATTTGTACATTACCCTACGATGTCTACCTAAAATAAGGTCATCTCTGTCAATATTCTCTCATCAGAGACTAACTTCTTGTTCAACATCCCTTCTCACCTATTTCTATCTGAATCTTTTTGTCTGCTAAATCTGTTTCAAAGTAAGGTGGTTTCACTGGTTCTAAGTTCACATTGACTACCCTTCCAACATAGAAGTCTGTCACAGGGTTTGAATTGTATAACGGATCCCTCTCTTTCAGATTCTCTCTGTTTGTCTTTGCCAAACAATGATAAGCGCCATTGTCTTGTGCAGCGTTTGCATCTTGTATAGTAGCATTAAACACTTGTGAATATTTAGTGCTGAAATATAATAAAATATGAATTAAATGTATAAATAACACAGTGTTCTCCATAGAATTTTTTCTCAAGTGGGTGCAAAAGTCACCTTTTCACAATTCAGACCGAAATTGGTCAAAAATGCCTATTTTTATGATATTTCCCATTTTCAAATGTCTCGCGTGGGTGCAAGCCTGTTTTTAAAATCACAGACGGGTGCTGCGTCCACTTGCTTTAATGCTGGGGAGATCACTGTGACATTATTCTATACAAAAACGTGACTCCCATCAAAGGGAGGGGGAGAGGGAGGCAGAGAGGCAAGAAGGGACATATGCAATCAAGTTGTCATATTGTATTTTAAGAACAATGGACTTTTATGAATTCATAAACTTAAGAATGCTTCGTAATGCACCCCTGGATAATATCACCAACATCTTCTTAAATATGAAGCTATTTTCAAAATTTTGGGAGCTATTTTCAAAATTTTGTGAGCAGCAACAAATTACTCAAGACACTGTTATTACCCACAATCCTCTCACCTGTATTCTCTGATAGAAACACGTGATGGGGTTTCTTTAAGATTAGGCCTATCTGTATCAAAGTCCAGATCAAAATAACCAATCAGATTACCCACGCAGGAGACATGGATTGTATCGCCTTCTACCGCATTGGATGTGGTGCTCATAGAGAAACCATGCTCAGGAGCATCTGAAATTTGAATTTCAATAAGTTCCACGTTCTAAATATGTGTTGCTATTTCATCATGGCCGACTCCAAATGGTGGAGCTCCGACCTTGGGTGATAATCACATTTCAAGTGGAATAAAAAGTAGATATTTGAAGATTTCATTTTATCTTTTAAAAATTCAAAAACACATGGCAAACTGCTGAAATGTAAATTTTAGAAAAACCAAGGTCAATAAAAGCCCAAATAAGCCCAAATATCAATATTCACCAGAAGTTCCTTATATTTTCTATTTGATGAATTAATTCCCATTACATGTATTCCAAAGAATCACTTTTCAAAACTTAATGTAGATTTTGGTTTTCTAGCATATCTTTGCTATTCTAAGTCAAAACTTTATCTGACCTGAATTTTTTTTATGTTATCTTATATGTTAAACATTCAAAGAATCATGCATTTTGAAGATTTGAATTTTTGAGACACCAATACTAGCCTCAACAATGATAGTACATAGATTAAAGTTGTTTTAAATAAACTTCTATACAACCTATTGACTTAATGTTAAATGAACCTCTATATGTGGAACACCTCCCAAGTGGAACACTTTTTAGAGGTACCAAAGGTGTTCAAATTAGGCAGATTTAACTATACTTCCTTTAATCATATCACATAATATTTTTCACCAACCTGAGACCAAAAATTCGATATCCCCGTCTTCCTGCCAGTCACTTCCGAGTTTATTTTCAACAAGGCAGCGATAATTTACAGACGATTTGGCTGTTACACTTAGCTGACTTTTCATAATGCCAGTAAGGTCACCTTCAATGTTGATGAACTCTTCGTTGTTTCCAGATGGCACACTCCTTACATCTGTCCAATCAGTTGAACAACCAACTGAAAAATATTTACTGAGCAATATAGGCAAACCTCAGGAGTCCATATATGTTCAGGCAAGAATAGTACATTGACGTTATTAGTATTATTACAACCGTTTATGACCAGGACTGAAACAGCAAGAAAATCGTAGGCACTGAACGATTCTAATTTCCCAGGGAAAATTGCCGGTCGAGAATTGCATTCTTGACTGGCAGTATTGACCGCCACTATGACGTCACATATTGCTCAGGTTGATATAGTAAAATGAATGCCTTCTAAACTAGCACGAAAATCCCTAGAACTGGCCCGGCAAGGTGGTAACAATGTCACATACTTTTATTACTATGGCAGTGTTGTACTAAAGACTTAAGAAATACATGAAGTATATGTGGGTATAAGCAAAATGAAGTTATTTTGTAAAATACATGGAAAGGGAGACAAGAAATAAGATTTAGTTATACATCAATGTTTGTATAAACTTCTGATGTGAGCTCTGAAAGTACTCATTTGGAGAGGACAGGGGTAAAAAGTCACGTAGTTGTAGAAGGTTCTTCTGAGGAAATGGCTATGGGGGATATAATGATATAAGGTATCACTACAGGTACATATATACTCATGTACTGTCATAGGCGTAGCGCTATATTTCTAAGTAACAAACAATAGTTGAGCGAAGCATAAAACGAGCATTTAGGGGGATCTAGGGGGGTTCTCTCCCAGGAATATTTTGAAATTTGGTTGTATTTAGAGCGAATTTGCAACCATCTGGTACACCTGTGCGTACACAGCGTACCAGGCGCTATGCCTATGACTGTTATGCAGTGTACTGACTTAACATAACGAAGGGGCATCATTTCGAGCAAGTATATACTGTTATGCAGTGTATTGACTTAACATAACGAAGGGGTATCATTTCGAGCACATACATACTGTTATATACTGTATTGACTAAACATAAACCAACCTGCTTCATAACAAGACTGATACTGCCATGTGACATCTGGTGTTGGGAACCCTGCATACTCACACTCCAAAACAAAGATCTCTCCAGCTTTATAAAAGGGCAAGCAGGGATCTTCTTGTTCACATTTCATACTGACCAGGTGGTTGATTCTTGCTGGTACTGCAAAGAAAGTATTATAACATTTTTTAAATGACTAAGGAAATATTGCCTATAACAATTAAATTGGACAGGAACTCTAAGGTGAACTACCTCTTGTCTTCAAACTTTGTCAATTCACCTATTATTTTAATTGTAGTGAAATATTATTCACTCATTACTTTAAGCGTAGCCAAATGTAATTCACCCAATACTTTAAGTGTAGCCAAATGTTATTCACCCATTAAGTTTAATGTAGCCAAATGTTATTCACGCATTACTTTAAGTATAGCCAAATGTAATTCAACCATTACTTTAAGTGTTCTATTACTTTAAGTGTAGCCAAATGTAATCATAACATACCATTTATTTGAAGTTCAACAACTGCAGAAGCGGTCAAATTTTGTGTTTTTCCTACAACCATATAACTCCCAGTGTCTCTCTGTTCTACCTCTTTGATAGTTAAATATGCTTTCCTGTCAGCTGAGCTTTGCCTTAAGTAGAATATATTAAAGGGTGTATTAAAATTCCTACAACCATATAACTCCCAGTGTCTTTCTGTTCTATCTCTTTGATAGTTAAATATGCTTTCCTGTCAGCTGAGCTTTGCCTTAAGTAGAATATATTAAAGGGTGTATTAAAATTCCTACAATCATATTATAACTCCCAGTGTCTTTCTGTTCTGCCTCTTAGATAAAATATGTCTTGCTGTACCAGAAAGAGCGAGCAATTTTTTCTATACTCTCTTTTTTAAGAATCTTTCGAGGCAAAATCCTTCCATTTTATAGCTTCTTTTCTAAAAATCCCCTAGAATGAGTTCTTATGTTCAAGACATATTAACATTAATGTGGACATTTTTATTGCACCATGAGAAGAGTTGACATATTGTGGTTTAAAGTTTCATGTTGCCACCTGTAACAATCCGTCACACTTTTGTAACCATTAAGCAGGTCACATTGATAGAATATTTAACTCTTATTACTTCACGTGAGCCGAAAAAATTAACTGATCAAGACAACTATGACAAGGCATCAACATGCAAAATATCACCACCTGGCATTTGTTACAGACACTTACCACTGGACACCAAACAACATTCACAAATAGGTTGGAGACTTTAATTAATACCAATATGTAACCACTTGTGGTGGTGACATGATAATAGTTAAGTTTTACACTGTGAGAAAAACTGCAAATTTTCTTTCTTACCCCATTATGAAGCGAGCACTTTTATACAGCCTTACATCATCTTTGTACCATTTGATGGTTGGCCGAGGAAATGCAACCAAGTTGACCTCGAGTCTCAATAGTTCCATGCCAACATCTCCTTCCACATTTTGAGTAGGGGGTGAAAGACTGAGCTTTTGTGTCTCTGAATTAAAACAGAGGGGAGTGAGTTGGATATGTTCAATGCCATGAGTGCATTGTAAAAAATAAAGAGGAGTAAGACAACATCAATGGCATAACTGCATGATATAAAAGAATGGGACAAATAACATAAATCACAAATAAATTGTAAAAAAATAAACTCCAAAATTCAAAATAAAGAAATTTATAAAGAGGGAATCGTAGGCAAAAGATACTTCAGTGAGTAGCAAAATCCACCAAAATGATCATCAACACTATTAATATCAATAATACTATATTTTGAACCAAATAGGACAAAAATTAAAGCGATGACATCATAATTAAGTATGGGTTATAAAGTGTTCTCAAGCTCTATTTCAATTAACAAAAAAATATCTTAAACAATCAAACATTTACCTCTAATATAAATATCAACCTCGTGATGATTCCGCTTGCCATCATGTTTGGTAACACTACACCGGTAAATGCCTGTGTCTGACAACTGGCTTCTGTATACCTAGAATAAGGAGATTAATTTAAAATATGATGCACAAATATTTCAATTAATTGAGAAATTCTCATACTATGACTTACATGCCATAGATGGTGTCAAATTTTTAAGTAGAATTACCCAGATGCGAGTAGGTAGTTATCATTTTCACCACCAGGTGGCCAATTCGGGGTAGGTTACATGGCAGGGTATAACAAAGTTCCATTAAATTTGAATATTCATCAGTTTTAGTGGTTCAATTTTCATATTATTCTTATGTATCTTATAAATTAAAATATGTCCAGTAAAAGAAAATATTTTCTGTTTGAGTAGCAAATCCCACCGAGCAAAAAATAATAATAATTCTTGAGCAGAACTTGTTCCTCTAGGCATCAAAATATAAATGTAAACCATATCCGTAAATTAGCATTAGAGTTATCAAATATTACATTCCTTTTTTACGAAAAATGGCAGCCATTTTGAAATTCAGCTGCCATTTTGAAAATATGTCTCGAACAGAGCTATACTGTGGCCCTAGGTATCAGCATATAAAATTTGAGTGAAATCCATTCACTGCTATTTGAGTTATCAAATATGACATGTTTTTACAAAAAATGGTAACCATTTTAAAATTCAGCTGCCATCTTAAAATTCTTTGTCAAACAGACTCTATGCATCATCATATAAAATTTGATCCAAATCCGTTCACTGGTATTTGATCTATATGAGTTTTCAAGGTGATTTTGGAAGAAGTACACTTGGGGGTGATCAAATTCCAAAATTGAGCGATACGAACATAAACAACTTGGCTAAATTTTTGACCAAAATTTGACATTTGAACCATATATTGTCGATGTCACTAACAAAATTGACAAGTTATTTAACCACTTAAAGAGTTTATCAAGATAAATTAGTGGTAAACACCTTCAGCTTTAATGTTTAATTCATATATTTTAGCACTTCGATTTCTATGATATATTATATGGCTGCGCAAAATTCATGGTTCTAAAATGTCTCAATCGTTTATATTATAAAGCAGAAACTATTTGTTCAGGTGTCATACATGGATCGCAAAATGAGCAAAATATTGATGTTTCGAGGTTAAGTGGAGCGTTTATCAGGAACTGAAAAAAATGATGTCACAGTTTATATTGCTATTTGAAAACCAGCCATGAAATTCAAGTTTTAAAATGCATTGCATTCCCTACTTGTTCTGAGAGCCACAGCTGCTGTAATATGAAAGAGATGCAATGAGGACTATTTGGGGAAACAAACTCAGGGAACCCTAATCTCAGTTTTTATTTTTATTTTACTTGTTTTCCACACAAAGGCAAACAATTAGAGCATTACAATAAAAAAAAAATTTATCAAAAATTAATTTATTTATAAGATTGGACAAAATAATTATGTGCTTATGCTGGCTGACCAAAACAAGTTAAGCTAATATTTCCATATTGACTCTATTTTATATATAACTGATATGTTGACCTGACAGCCAGGCAACAAACAGCAACAACAGCGTAGGTACTACATACATAACACAATACTACACAAAGAAAGACCATTGCTTTGGACTTCAAATTGCTAAACCAATTCAGTAAAGTAAATAAGCTTAACAGAAAGCAGAGCGACTTGACTCAGTAAGGATATTAAGATCATAAAGGTTTCAGGATTAAAGTGCATGATAAAACCAAGACTGTAGATTTCGAAATATAGGGGTGAATGTTACATTGTCATGAAGAAAGGAAGGAATATAACATGACAAGTAATGTAACTCTTCTTATTTATAGTTATTTACAATGAACAAATTGTGGTGAAAATCAGAATATGATAAGTTTCAGTTACTGTGAAGTTTTAGTTAGTATAAAGAATTTCAAAACAACATCGCCATCAATTTAGACTTTACATCCAAATAAGTAAAATAAAAGTAACTACGTGAACACAAAAACTTGGGAACTCCCATTGAAATTTTAATTTACAGTGCCTGGTCACGAATGTACATGTAAAACACTGAATGAATTAAAACTAGTTCAATGATCAATACAACTAGTACACATGAAATCTTTTTTGATTAAATACTCAGATTTAACCAAAGTGATGTCATATTTGAACAACTATTGCATGTCAGGTTTTAAAAATTGTTTCTCACCTTAAAATTTAATGTTTTAATGTAATTTAATAATCTTGTTCACTGCATAAGACCTGTTTGTTTAATGACATAAATATCAAACTTTGACTCCTGATTTTTTGTTTTCAGGTATGATTCACAGTGATAAACTGCATCATAACTACTTAAAAATACAACTGCATGGTTGAATTCAGCAGGTGGAGATAACTACACCAATAATATAATAGAATACTTCAATCTTAGAAGACAAAAACAACGTCACCCATAATGCAACAGTATACTTGAATTCTGCAGATGGAAACAACTACACCCATAATGCAACAGTTTACTTGAATGACAGCATACGGAAACAACTACTCTATAGAACTCATATATGTCAGAGGATAAATGACCATATTACAATTGACTACTTGAATACAACAGCTAATAACAACTGCAACCATATGCAAATGCAATAATGCATACATACTCTAAACCTTGAAACCTCGAGTAACAACTGTTTCAATATACCAGATAGTATATAACAATCAACAACACATCAAAATGGCAGATTCAAAGCCCTATAATAACTTAAAATTACTAATTTTTCTATCCACTGTTGCAATAATAGCTGGAAGTGCGACTTATTTTTATGTTAATGAAAATGTTTTTGAACCTCAACTTGTCTGCATGGTACTTGGTTTCTTACTCCAACGGTACTTTCTACATAAGATTATGTTTTTACCGGAGTCTAAGCCCAACAGGCAGACATTACTTTACAAAAATAGTAACTTTTTCAAAGTGGATGTGATACTACTGGGTATTGCCCTCTTTTCTTGCTTCGTAGAACCATGTTATGACATTTCACTGGGAGAATTTTATATTCTAGGAACATGGTGCTTATATGGAGTGACACTGCTATGCACTGTCGTAATATTAATGTTAATCGATTTCTATTTCAAAAGAAGCATAGACAATGACAAGAAAATTCCAAATGGTGAAATTTCAGTAGAAACCAAGTCAGCTGCCCGTGTATTATTCGTGTTTATGGGCATTTGCCTTATGGTGGTTGGAGGACTTGCATTCAATGATGGATTCAAAACTGAAATGCATGGATATCTACTAACATTTTCCTATGTACCATTAGCCATGGCGGCACTAGGATTATTGCTTGCTCACTGTACCAGCATGTTAAATTGGACTGAACCACCTATCAAGTCAAGGGACACCATCAAAATGAGATGTTTAATATTCACAGGTTATGATTTCTTACTTTTGGCCATAGGCATTAACCTAATGCTATCATACTCCCCAGATATTGGGTTGGTTGCGGACAGATCTGGTTTAAACCAGTTAGGACAAGTGCTTTGTGGTTACGGACTAGTGGCATCTTTGGCAACAGGTATCATATACAGGAAGCACATACAAAACAATCCTAAATTTCCAGTTTCCAGAATAGAAGAAGAAGAATCTGACTCCATTATGTTTTGGTCTATAGTTTTAGGACTTGCTTTTGTAGTCGCTGCCATGACTTTATTCTTTCTTGGCCCATGTGGAGTACGATCAGAGTTCCGTCCAACTTGCTTAATTTCACCAGGTATGCTGGTCATGGCAGCCCTTATCATGCGTGTAACGGTCCTTAATCACACTGCTGCCCATCCACGTAAATCTGTTGATGAAATAACCAAGCAGCGTAATTTTCTGATATTTTGCGATGTTATTGTTGCAGGGGTAGGTATATCCCTTTTCCTAACAACCTATGGTAAAGGGGAAAATAAATGGGTTGAAAATGCCAACAGTACTGTTACCCCAGGAGGTACATACATTCAAGTTGTTCAAGAAGCACTCTATTTTAGCCCTGTAATGTTTATCGAAGCCCCCATAGGGATCCTGATCACACTGTACTGGTTCAATCGGTTTATAACCAAGAACTACAATACCTGGTTTGGTGAGAAGAACCAGGTGGTTAACATAACAATAGCTTCAAGTTCTGCTACACAGAATGTCACTGCTACAAATAATGCCACTGCTACAAATAATGCCACTGCTACAAATAATGCCACTGCTACAAATAATGCCACTGCTGCAAATAATGCCACTGCTGCAAATAATGCTAGTGCTGCAAAGAATGCTAGTGCTGCACGCAATGGAGCCAGAGTGTCAACTTCTGATCCCTCCATTCCTACATCTGTAAGTCGTACAACAAGACCAGAAAGAACAACATCTGTAACTGGAAAATTAAATGGGCCTGGTAATACACAACCACAATCAGAAGCTATCCTTCCACAACCTGGAACTATTCCTTCACAGCCTGGAGTTATCCCTCCACAACCTGGAGCTATTCCCTCACAGCCTGGAGTAATTCCTTCACAGCCTGGAGCTATCTCTACAAAACCTGGAGATGTACCTCCACAACATGGAGTTATCTCTCCACATCCTGGAGCTATTCCTCCACAATCTGGAGTTACCCCTCCACAACCTGGAGCTATTCCTCCACAATCTGGAGTTATCCTTCCACAACCTGGACCTTCACACCCACTGCCTGGCTCCATCCCACCTCCACCTTTCAATCCCCTATACCCATCCTATTTCATGCCTGGGCCATCAGGTTCTTCTCCAAATGCCAGGAACATGGGACCAGTACCAGAGTTGCCCTTAAACCCTCTACGTCCTCACCACACAGGGTTTCCACAGCCTCATGGGTATATACCCTCAGCACCTCCAGGTACCTCCTTTGGTGTACCACCAGCCATTGTATATACAATTGGAGATACAACCAACCAGACAGCAGAAATGCCTTCATCAAATGATCGTTTAACATTCACACCCCCACCAGCATACGAATCACTCTTTCCAGGACGAAATTCAGAGTCAAATGTATAAAATAAAAATTTTATATAAAATACTATTTTTTAAATGCCTCAATCAAATGATCGTTTAACATTCACACCCCCACCAGCATACGAATCACTCTTTCCAGGACGAAATTCAGAGTCGAATGTATAAAACAAAAGTTTTATATAAAACACTATTTTTCTTTTATCACATGATCAGTGTAATATGAATGTAAAAGTGAGTGAGTGTAAATGTAAAAAGCATGTTTAAAATCAGTTATTTGCGTACATCATAAATTTTTCTCCTCTTAGAAATTTGTAATATATTTTTTGCCAATAAAAATCAAATTCTTTTTGTCATTGAGATTTTTAATGATTTTACCTCATTAAATACTGCAGATATATTGAATGAGTGTAGTACATGTTATCTCTACTACATATAGAAGAATCTGAAGCATGTTTCAATGAGTAAAATCTCGCATTCTCTGTGATATCATTCTTGAAATGAAAGGCAGGATAGAAACATTTCTAAATAAGGACACCATTTTGAGGTACCAACGATATTTTACTTATACAGGTTTTACTACTACATGTACTTAAATAACAGGGTTTTCATTAGCAGTAGGCAAAAGGCGATTTTCACTGGTTGTTTTCACAAAATCGCCTGTTGCTTTTAGGAACTTTTCAACTTTTCCATGTTAAATTTATTATTTCCATTAATTCATTTATTCAGCCTGTTGAGAGGAATTCTACTGAAACCCCTGAATAATGTGATTTTATTATAAATATTTTATAAATCGTAACTTATTTTCATATGATATCTTGTAAAATAAGTACTTATCCATGTCACTATGTAAATATGGGCAAAAAATGGGCACTTTTCGCAGACTTTGTAGTTCAATTGTAAAGATACGTTATGGACAACCTGTATATTTACTGTTAGATATAAGGTGATTACACAGCATTATTGTTGGATTACACAGCATTATAAAATAAAATATATATTTTGTAATAAAAATGTAGATCAAAATTGTTTTTTCATTGCAGTTCAGATTATAATGTTCCTCAATAAGTAAAATAAAATGACTTAATAATGGAAGTATGCAGAATAAATTTAGTATTTTGGGATGTGTCTTCTAAGCTCATAGTACCAAATCATAAGCCTATTTACTTTATTGATTTGGTTTAGCAATTTGAAGTCCAATGCAGGAAGACTGGGTGCTTCTTTCACTAAATAACTTACCTTATCTTTCAAACTTTGGCCAGTTTTCTATAGCAATCAATACCTATCTTAAATTCTATCATATGATCACACACAATCAAAATAAAAAACACTGTATTTATGCCCAGAAAGTACTCATGGTTAAAGATATGACTATCTAAATCACTTGCTATACTGCACATGGACTTTTTATATGCTGATGCCTAGGGACACAGAAGCTCTGCACGATAAGGAATTTTTAAGATGGCAGCTGATTTTCAAAATGCCCCCCATTTTTCGTAAAAGAATCTAATCTTTGATAACTCAAATACCAGTGAACAGATTTGGATCTAATTTTATATGATGATGCCTAGAGGCACAATACCTCTGGCTTTCCTATATCCCTCTCAAACTTTGTTCGGTGGGATAATGTCAGAAATCAAGATTGTTTCTACTCGCATCTAGTCTATTGTATCAGACATTCATCTTGAAATAATTATTCAAGAATGCAGATACAAATCTTTTGTCTGTCTATATAAACACTTGAAATATTGCTTGCATATTAAAAAAATAAACTTCATTTTGTAAGAACGACTCAGATCATTGATTCTGATACTTCTCATGTCACTTTTGCAAGTGAACTCAAACTTTGATAAACAAAGAAATGGATGAGTAACAGACACAGCGGTTTTGGTTAATAAAGCCTCAGTCACATTTGCTCTATGGCAGCCATACAGTGACCTTAGCCTCACGCAATCGATATAGAAAATCTACATGGGTGCTTATCCCTAAATTTTAGAATGCATATTTCTATCCATTTTGAGAAGGTGACACAGCTGCCATATGGTTGCCATAAATCAAATTTGACTGAGGCATTGAGAAAAAATTATGATAAACAGTATTAAAGTAATAAAACATACATGTAATTCTCCAATGATCTCACTGTAGTCATAATGTTCTGCGCTTTTGTTGATCATCTTTGGTGGGATCTCAACAATTCTGGGATCAGACTCCTAAAACATAAAACAAGACATGTAGACCTGTTAAAAAACTTGAGCCATAATTTCTCCACAATTAAGTGAATCAATTATTTTACTAAGTAATTTCAAAACCAGTTAATTGATCAAATAACTAAATTCTAAGAGTATTGGTTTTGATGTACCCAGTTTTTAAGTTCTTTGAGTATTGGTTTTGATGTACCTGATTTAAGAAATAAATTACAACTCTGGAAACATGACAACCCCTAAATTTTAATGTAAGCCTTTCTTCAACACTTTTTAAAACCATGAAAAATAGTGCATGTGAAAACTTACAGATTTGGCCCTATATGACCATTCCATGTGGACGAGAACCCCTTTGTCAACCCTAACTCTACAAGTTAACTTGAAGTCTTGTCCAACTGCCACACCATCCTCAATGTCAATATCTGGTGAAATATCAGGCTGGGGTAGGCCACCAGTTCCAGCTGGAATAGAGGTGTACAATATATGTTATTCACCTATCCATAGGTGAACTGTTAAAACGAGATGGCAAGACTGCAAATTGAGACTGCAGTTCACGGCTTAACAGTCAAGGGATTTTATTTAGACAGTCAACTATAATCATCTTATTCTGTCCCTCCGATTCATTTTAATGATATCACAATGTCATTTTGCATTTAAGTATATCTAGAAATGCATAACAAAATGCATAATAAAATTATGGAAAAGAAGGAACACTAGTTTTTATGATACAGTACTTCAAATTTCAAAATCAAAACATGGAGTACTAATCTGTTGATCATCTCATAATGTGACAAAGCCATTCTGAATACATTAATACTTATATCGTAAATAAATGAATGATTTGAACATATTTTGCCAGCTATTTTTATGAATCATACACAATATTCTTGCTGTAATGTCTTTAAGCCTAGGCAATCAATATATTACTTATAACATTTGTAGTATTGTCAAGCGTGCATATGTATCACTTTGGGGTTAAAAATGAAAATTAATGAATTGTTAAAAAAACAATTTCATTGGGAGTAAAGGCTGGGTACAACCTTTCCCCAACATTTCTAAACTGGGGAGACAAAAATATTTCCTTACCATCTTGCTCTATAATTTCATCCTCTTGATCAAGAGGATATCTTTCTACTAAAGCCATTATTTTGATTTAAAATGTTCAAACTTTAATGAAACAGATATCCTTTCCTTCTAGGCATAATAATCTTCCATTCTTTTATTATTCTCAGAAATGTTTATGTGTACAGCTCGTAGTATGCATATATTTTCCAAACATTCCATCATATAGAGTATAACTACTATAACTGTCACAAACCATTGAAAATATTAAACATATTATAGTACAGTTATTTCATGAAATATGACTTTTTGCAGTTTTTTGCAAATTGAAGAATACACTACTGTACTTCATCCCAAATTGTCACTTTTTGCATTGTCAGTCATGATATTTTCCTTGTGGCATAAGCTAAGCTTTACTATACTTCATCTACCTTCAAAGTTTACCGACTTACGCCAATCATCCAAAAAGTGAAATCAGTTTCTAAGAAATAAATCCTCAATTATGTATGATTGAAAACACATATAAAAGTGTTAAAGAAAGATGTTTTCAACAGAAATGATCATTTTCATCTTATCTCTACAAGACACTATTGTTGTACCATAGACGTTAACCCCTACGGGTGTGATATATTGCAGATAGAAACTTTCACTTGAAACTGACACCTTATGACAGAAATCAGACCCTGTTCATTACAGATATCACTCCAAAACAGTTGCTATTGTGGACAAGCAGAGGGACCATGTCATAAACAATTGAATATGAGTGTTAACAATTATAACCTTGTACATCCTTGTTTCATAAGATTTGATTGTGTGAAGGTTCCTCTCTTATAGAGGGTTATTCAAACACATCTCATAAAATACAGAAAATATCAAAAGTTAAATATGTCAAATCTTTGACCAGTTAATTCATGTATGTGTATGTACAGGAATATACTCAGTGCAATTGATTTTAATATGCACATGCTTTTGAGATAACCCCTTGGCCTAAAAGTGGGTATAATTTCTTCTTAAAATGTTAGATAATAAAAGACCAGAGGAATAAAATGGTGTCCCTGGGAATATTCTTCATAAACTAATACACCCAATTAATAGCCCAGGGTCTTTTAACTGAAATCTTATCACACTGACATCCCAACATCCTGAGCAACCATACGGACCAATAGACGACATAAAACACCCCGACATTTTATTAAATATATTTTTCAAAGGATAGAGCCTATATCCAAAAGAAACCATTTAAATAACAGATTTATCCTTCACTTGTAAAATGATTTAAATGTTGTGTTAAGTTCTGAATCAGATACTGAAATCATATGAAAAGGGGATGATGTTGGTCAGATGCAATGCATTGTAAAAAGATTGGATTCTTCATTGACTTCAGACTAAAATGAGCAATTTCATTTTATTTTATTGAAACCCCAAAACTCCTCCAAAAGTGGAACACTTTTCAACCTTTTGTTACCAATCAACATACAGCATTGCACAATTAATATTTGTTAGTGAAAAGCATCACAAGTTGAACACTATTTCGAGGTACCAAAGGTGTTCCACTTACACAGGTTTAACTGAACATGTATTCTATCTATTTGGTGTTAGAGAATAGACAATCATAAAATAAAACTTACGCTGAAAAAATATTATAGCTGAAAAAGTGTCGGTGACATTTCCCATAGATGCCTTGCAGAAAAAGGCACCGGTGAAGTAAAAGTTCGGGTAGAGCAATGTGTAGCCAGTATGTGCGTCATATCTGATATCATCTGTTGCAGTTAGGTTGAGTTCCTCTGCATTGGTTGCGCCAATGTTTCCTTTCCAAAGCGAGACTAAGGTGCCAGGATGAGAAACCCGACATGGGACGATGGCACGTTTGTATTGAAGAGCAGCCACAAAAAATGGCTGCATTGTATAAGGGAGAAACAGTTTCTCAGAATCTTGAACAAAAAGAGAACAAAATTACAAAATATAACTAAAGTAACTAATTATTAGGATATATACACACATAACATTTATTATAGATATTTGTGATCTGAAACTGAATTTTTTTTATTGTTTGTTATTTCAAAATTCCCCAACATTTCTAGGTGCCGTAGAAAGACAAACATAAATTCCCACAAAATATTTCAAGATGGTTTGAGAATATCAATTATAAAGCCATGCGAATATTATACGAACATTTCATTCTTTTGAGGTGGGTACCTATGCATCTTAAACGAGCAATATTCCCCTAAGCCCTAAGGACTAGGGGAGTATTAGCTATTCACCAAAAATAGAATAAGATGAACTTGTTTTAATATTTAATGTTAATATTCCTCACTCTCAAGATCTTCACCGATGTTTTTATTGCCTTTACAAATGGATATTACCATGAATTCTATCTATCATATAAAGTATGTAAAAGTACACTGGATGAAACGACAGCAGGGGCATATGCCATTTTATGGTATTAAAGTACACTGGACGAAATACCAGCCGGGGAATATTACTATAGGTCTGTGATTAGTTATTCAGGTTTTTTTAGGGACTTACCAAAATATTCAAACATGACCGGATCTTGGTCAAATTTCATACTTATGATGTATGAAAGATTTGTGACAAATTTTATTTGTCGTTGCTATGGTAACTATGTCTCTCTTGTTGCCATAGCAACGGTAATTTCAGCTGGTTAAGTCTACTGTAGACGCCCAAGATTACCATATTACTAAAATCTGACATCATATTTGGACTCAGCAGGTCAAAATTACCTGAAATTGAAATTTTCATGAAAAAATTCAAATTTTATATAAAGATACAGCAGTTTATTTCTTACTATGCAGGTTTGTAAGGACTCATATAAAAACTCAAATTTAGCAGTTTTTTGAAAATTAAAAGAAATTAAATAGATAAATAAATGTTGTGCAACAGTATCAAATATTGTCAAATCTTCAACACCTTACATAACAACGATGTATGATGACCTCCAAATATTTCTTTATGGTTGTTGCTATGGTAACTATGTCCACCTTGTTGCCATAGCAACAGCAGTTTCAGTTGGTTTGGTCAACTGTAGACCTCTCGGATTATGTTATCTTTAAAATCTGACACTGTTTTTGGACTCAGCAGGTCATTTATACCTTGTATTGAAGTTTTCATAAAAATATTCACATTTGAGGAAAAGATACAGCATGTTATTTCTTATTATACAGGTTTTTAAGGTATCGTATAAAAATATCAAAAGTGATTTTTAGAAAAAAAAAACTAAATTAATTAATTGATAAATAGAAGTTGAGCAACAGTATCATACATTGTCCAATTTTATTCACTTTTTTGACCAATGACGTTTGATAACATTCTAATATTTTTATTTGGCCATTTCTATGGTAACTATGTCCACTTGGTTGCCATAGCAACGACTGATTTAGTTGCCTTTCTCAACTGAAGACCTCCTAAATTATGTCCTTTCTAAAATCTGACACCATTTTTGGACTCAGCATGTCATTTTTATCTATTACTGAGATGTTATATACATATTTAGATTTTACAAAATTATATTACATGTTAAAGTTTACTATGCAGGTTGGTATGTAGGAAATAAGGATCTCTTCCAATACATTAATGACTTTACAGAAAAAATAATGGATGTTGAGAAGAACCATCAAACACTGTTCGGTCTTAATCTATTCTTTTTCTGATGATGTGTGATGACCTTTTCATATTTCTGCTTGATTGATGCTATGGCAACTACATGTATGTCCACTGTGTTGCCATAGCAACGATGAATAAAGGTGATTTTGTTCATTGTATAGCCGCAACTACAAGGTTACAGAAATATAACAATCCAGATGTTGGGTTAACCATAGCAAGAGTTATTCAATGTGATTTGATCTCTTCTAGACATCCTGGATAATGCTATGATAAAATTCTAACACTATATTTGGACTCAGCAGGTAACCTTTAATATAAATGTTCTAAATAGTATCATGAAGAGATACAACATGTCATTGGTTACCTTGTTGGTTTGAAGTTTGAAAATTACAAACCATTCAAATTGCTCAATTCGATAAATTTAAGAAAGTTCAGAAACCATAGATGGTAAGGAGCAGCCATCAAACATTGCATAATTATAAAACATCCATACTTTTGGCATTAAATAACTTTGATATTACTGATTTGTCGTTGCCATGGTAACCAATAATTTGTTTTACCATAGCAACCATTGTTTAAAGTTAATTTTTTCCATTGTAGACAAACTGGATTATAGTATCCTTAAAATCAGACACCATATTTGCAACCAAGAAAAAATTGTTCACCATTTTTTTTACAAATATTCATAAATATGGATTATTTTGGGAGGGTTGAGGATTTTAATATACAGACACACAAATTAATCAATATTGTTTCATAATGCTTTGACATTTTTATTTTTATTGTTGCTGTTGTACCAAAGTCCCCACAGCAATAAGAAGTTAATTTTTTGCTGTGCAGTGTGCACATCTTCAAACACCCAAGAAGTGTAAAATGCACATAAAAGAGTTCAAGAACAAGCACTTCCATTCACCAATGAATAATTATACTTAAAGGACGATTCTCGGTTTGGAGAACGAAGTTCTTCAATCTAAATGAGCATTATCCCTGTTTCGGACAAATTTGATTTTTTTTACATAATATAGATTTGAATGTCTTCTTTTGAATAGTCATAATTTAATTTGGGTAATATTTTTAGATTTTTCGCAAAAAAATATTAGCGCAGTACACTGATGAACTTCTTTCCCCAAAATCAAGACTTGTATTTTATTGAATCAGTCTAATTGAGCATTATCCCTGCTTCAGACCAATTTGTTATTTTTACATCTTGTAGATTTAAATGTCCTCTTTTGAATATTCATAGTTTAATTTGGGTAATATTTCTATATTTTTCATGAAAAAATTATTAGCCCAGGAGACTGTTCTCCAAACCGAGAATCGTCCTTTTAACCAGTGTACAAGCACCAGCACAACTGTCGCCAGTATGAAATAAATCATATAGATAAATCTTCTCAAGTTCACATGGTGTATATAATATCTATGTAAGATAAAAAATAATCAGTGTGGCTTAATGAATAAGAGTTGATGAATAAAATTTATGAAACTGCATAACAAATATAAAACTCATCTGGATATAATAGGGTGAACTTTTACATACAATATCTTAAATACTCTTGTAGGAATCTAGCTACTGTATATACACTTAATTTGGCTCCCGTTTTAATATGACGGATTGGCGGATTCAGAAAATCCGCCAAATTCAGTTTGGAATATTTGTCCAATGCACTTCAGAAATTAAACTCCAGGGGCCCCTTTTCCTGACAATATGTCATCTATTCTACATTATTCCAAAAGAAATACAGAAAATATTTTTGTAAACACCTGTCCTAATGACATAAACATCTACAAAAATTAAAGAGCAACCAATATTTAGAATTGAGCAAATCCGTCAAATTGAGTAGCATCAAAATAAGTGTATCTACAGTATAATTGCAATTAAATAGCTATTTACATGTTTGTTTAACAGCTCCTACCAGATCATAGATGAGTAAAATTGATATTGAACATAGCTCAAATCAAGAGTCTAGTTCGCAGACTTTTTATAATTGACAAAATCTAAGACCTCTGATATTGTTTCAAGTCAATGATGACAAAAAAATATGCACATATTCTTTACAATTGTTAATCATAAGAATTACAAACCACTATAATTTTAGAAAAGCAAGGGTTTATGAATACTGTACTCCTGGTAATTTTTCCATGGTATTATATTTTGCGCTTTAATGAGTTGTGGAAAATTCACAAAATATAATAGCCACAGAGTTCCAATAATTCTAATTTGTGAAATACAAAATTCCCAGGAATTAGTTTCATTTATTTAATAAAAGAAATTGTAAAATAAGCTGAAAAAAGTTTGAGAAGTTACAAATCCCCAAAAATTGATAATTGCAAAATTTTAAAAAAAAGAAATTTAGTGAAAATTAAGAAGGAAAAGATCAAGGAAATCAAAAGCCTCGACTGATGTAGCTTTAAAAACTTGGTCCATTATCACCATCCTCATTCGAGTTATGATGCATGCCAACTTTATGTTTATGTTAATTTAACATAGTTTTGTCTATATTTCAGATATCACTTTATGATAACAAGAAGGCAATTTTAAATTTGAGTGTGATTCAGGTCATGATGGTGATCATCAGCACAGAAGTTATTGATGATAGCCCAGGCACACTCAATAGAATAGAATCTAAAGTGATATTTGGTTGTGAACAATTTCACATTCAGGAATGGCATAACCTGGACTTATAATTTCATTGGACAGCTTACTATATGGATGTATCCTTCTTGATAACAGGATGTTAGATGTAGCAGTGTATCAGAATCTCTTTCAATCTCTTTTCATTCAAAATAAACCACTAGAACCATATACATATTATCGGTAACTTTACATATGCTCTTACTGTCACCATTTCATCCAGATATCCATATTCTGAACGATAGTACATAATTAAGTATGTATCTGTGGCATATAGCTTTAGATTTTATTGCTCGAGTCTATGGTTTTTGTTGTGTCATTGGCGAGCTAGTCTTTTGGAATATGTACCGTAATAATCATTGTTTATTGGGTCCATCACCACCAGTGCTAGTCCATATATTTAAAACTATATATCCAGGATTGCCAAGATTGCCATGTACATGTACGTAATGGGAATAAAACTTGTTTTCAGAGGTTGAGATGATTCATCAGTGGAGAAATCCTGGAATGGTAAAATGTATATTATGTATATAATTTCAAAGGAAATGTTTGTTTTTTTACAGAATTCAAATTTATTTCTAATAATCAATACAATAGAATACATATGAACAATTTGCCATTGTTGATAAGTCAACATTATCAGCCATTGGAACAATGTTAACAAAATAAAAATTTATATTCAGAAATACACAAAGGAAATTGTATAAGAGATGTATAAGTCAAATGATCTATAAAAACTCCAAAGTATTTACGTTTCTATATGATATTCATGTTCTTATAAAAAATTAGTGAAAAGTTTATATCTAGTCTTTTGGATACAAACCTTGTGATACAAACAACTGCACTTACATGTAGGCCTATTCGTACTGAATACTGTACACTGATGAATTGGCAAGGTTGGTGCGGAGTCACTTTCATTTTCTGATTTTCCAGTAGATGATTTTCAAACTGCATAGCCAGGATTGCCAAGTTTTCAGAGGGCGAGATGATGCATTGTTGGAGAAATCCTGGAATTGGAAAATGAATGTTCATATTATACACCAATCTACATGTACATGATGCATATTTCAAACGAGACGTATAAGAGATGTATAAGTCCAATGATCTGAAAGCTCAATGACTTAAAAGTGTATTCTCAAATTAGAATATCTAGCTTCCCATCACATCCAATGAACAAGACATAAACATTTCTCAATTTGTGATAAGATCAAAAAATCTGAAAAAACATTAATACATGACAGTAGATATATTGATCAATTGTTTACTAGCCAGCTGTAATTTCATTGATGTAAAAACTATTGCTTTTATCAATACAATTTATTGGTCTGAGACCAGTTTTACTAAGAACAAGGCCAAGTGAAATTAGCTGATCTGGTAATATCAGATCATATTAATTAATTTGATAATTATCAAAATAATAGTGTATAGGAATAATTTCATTTCTATTAAAACTATCGCTTTTATTGCTATATGTTAGAAAACTTCAGGACTGATCTGAATTAGTTTTTATGATTATATCAGATAATATTGATGATAGCGCTAATTTTGATAAATATCAAATTCATCAATAATATCTGATAATGTTAATTTCATATGTGCTCTGTAGGTTATTCCATACTCCAAATTTATCGATAATTGATGATTATCAAATTTATCGACTAATTTATCACTACTAGAATTTATCGCTATTATTGATAAAAGTGAGTTTCTGCACCTAAATGGAACTGCCTGTATATTGGTATGAGTAATGTATATTTTGAAAAAAGTAAATGTCACACTCCGATGACTGACATGAAAAACAAGTCTTGCATAAACACCTGGTCTTTTCCCAATCAGTCATTTTTAAATTGGCCAATATGTAGACCAATATTTCCATACAGTGCCAAGGTCAAAGGAAGACTGAAATATTGTTATGCAATTAATTCAATATGGGATAATCATATCATTATATATCTCGTATTAATATTTTATTGTATTTTATTTACCAATTTACCTCAGTGTAAAGCTGCTTGTGTCTGCTTGAGACCCGGGCTTGAGATTGGATTTTCAGCAAAAATCAAACAAATTGTTCCATCAAACTCTAGTCGTCGTTATCGTCCAAAAATAAATCAGGCATCTGTCAGATGTACTTGGAACGGCTTATTGATAGTAAGTATCGATCTATCAACTCAAATACGGCAAGATTCATCGTTAAATAGACAGAACAACGACGAAATGTACAGAAAACTGAAATTTCATGTTGACCGGAAATTGTTGAAAATCTCTACCGGATTACGTTACAAGCGACGTCCTATTGGTCAATTCACATTGGCGCTAACGTAGCCATCTTTAAAACTCCAAATTTTGTCAATAGTAAAATGCGGTAAGTAATTATTAAAAATTAGGGCTATAAATCGAAAATGTGCTCGCATAAAATCATTTTCTGGTATCTCTAGTATTGCCTCGAACGCTTTTTGCGTCAATTCGTGCTAAATTGAAGATTTGTTTGTATGAATGCGGGAAACAAAAAAGTCATCGAAATTAACAGTTTTCCAGCGTTCATTTCTTTATTAATAATCCGATTTTAACGATCATACTCATTTTTGTGGGGAAGGATATGCTTAATCTCTATGGAAAAAATCAGGTCAATCCATGCGCTAGATCAAAAGATCCTGCGAGCGAAGTGCATTTTACACTTACTCTGTTAACGTACAGACGCCGGGGGTCATTTCCAAAAAATTCTAGCTTGTTATATAAAACTTACTAAACTTGTTTATATGATCGAATATATTTATTGATCAGTGGCAATAAAATAAGACCCAAAAGTACAAAAACCTGAATAACAAATCACAGACCTCTAGTATATGGTATAAAAGTATACTGGCCAAATACCAGCCAAGTTATAATTGATTCAGATTACACTGGGCAAACTCACAGTCAGGAAATACGGCCCTATTTCCTAGTCACATGGGCACCGTCACATGTATGACATACTAACCAATCAGAGAATGAGGAATATGACAGTGCATAATAATGTGAAATATTCTTACCTGATACAAAAACATAGACACTTTTTGCATGAGTTTTCACACCACTTGGAGCATTGATATATCTACATGTGTATTGTCCCGTATCTGTCACCTTACTGCTCCTCACTCTCAGTTCACTAGAAAACTGAAAACTGTTTGTCGTTGTAACATTTTGATTCGTTATTGTCACTCGATCTTTCAGGTCGAAATCCTGGAAATAGACAATTCGATAAGGCTAATGAAGCAGGCCATTACAGTAATAAATAAATATATACGATGCACATGTAAGCACATCATTAAAGCAGCGTTGGCACAACATTTTCAAATCAAAATTCCCTAACATTATACTGATTAAAGCTTGAAATCCTGACCAAATGTTTTTCGTACAGAAGATTTAACTAAAGACAAATTTACATTTTTTTGTATTTATTGGAATGGCTTTTAATGCGGGGCTTTCAAGAGAAAGGCTATGCTTTTATGAATAAGTGGAACCAATTTTCACAGTCCTACAGCTCTAATCAAACCAAAAGTGGAAGACTAATGCAGAACACTATTAAGCGAAACTAAGAGTGTTCCACTTATACAGATTAAACTATGTATTGTTTTTGGTACGTTTGGTTTTTCCTATGTTGCTCCTCATGAATTCTGATTGCAAATCTGTCTTTTTCACATGTTTCTGATTGCAAATCTGTCTTTTTCACATGTTTCAGATTGCAAATCTGTCTTTTTCACATGTTTCTGCTTGCAAATCTGTCTTTTTCACATGTTTCAGATCATTGGCAACCAAGCTATCAAAGACTGCATGAAGATGCCTAATTGGCAGATATCTACTTTAGCATCTCTTGAAGAGAGTAATGCACTCACAATCACCAGTAAGATAAAGAGAGAAATGGGGATAGGATATCTACACTAATGGCCATAACTAGACACTAGGTAGGCAAGGCAATTTAACAGAAAAAAGTTCATAATAAAAAAGGAGGATATTCCTTTTGACTTCGAGTTTTGCCTCGCCAATCTAAATTTGCCTCACCATTTTTTCAATTTCCTGCCTCTTTATTATTATTATTATATCTTGGTTACCGCCATATTTGGCGAGCAATACCTCATTGGTATATTCCGTATTTTACGTATTTTACACTCGAAGACAGAGCCAGAAACCCCTCCTTGGAGGAGCCCTGTTTTCTTTTATGTGCACAGGTACACAGACATACAGGTACACACCACAGCCTTTTATACGAGTCGTGAACCACTCAGTCAAACACCAAGAATTACATAACGCACAAACAAACTTTACACGACTCAAACTCCAATTTATGATCTAATATAGATCCACTTATGACCTGTTTCTATTCAAGAAATGGATGATGTTCGTGAAAGATAACCCAGCAATGAAATATATTCTAAACCAAGGAGAAACTAAGACAGAAATCTGGCCCTAAATCAGCGATTATGAAGAGAAACAGAGAATGAAGTGAAATAATTGCCAAGATTCTCAGTTCCGTCTAATGTCAGATACCAACTGGGCTTATCAGTGAGTAACCTGCCAAGACTTTAGTTCCCTTTTCACCAGGATTTGTGATATGAATTAAAGCACTTTAATCTTAAATAAAGGTAAGCAAGTAACAAATCGTTATTCCTCACACTTGCTTGATACATCTCAAGCCAGTCTTGTGTGAAAGCTATATATGGGGGAGCAGTTGAGGGGGAGCAGTTGAGGGAGACCACAATATACAGGAGATTGATATGAGGTATATAGGGAGGGGAAAAACATGAATGTAAAAAATCTATGCTGCTCACATTTTTATGAATGTACTGTTTACTGAAGTCATGAATATCTCTAAAACAATAATCTGAGAGTCTTTTGAAGGTATCCTCCCATCATTTTTATTTCAAATTCTGAGAAAATGAGTTAAATAAGTTGCAAACCTATTGATATTTTGCTCCTGGGTTTAATATGTTTTGGCAGAAACTGTGCAGTTATTTGTATACAAGCTACTAAGAAAGCAAGCCAAAAGCAGCTCAATTACAAATTTGTTTTGATACAAACAGTAGCAGTGAAATCAGTTACTCTACATTCTTCCAAGCAACGATTTAATTCATGTTCAATGGCTCTATCATCCCAGTTAAAGACTTGAAGAAAGTTCTGATGTTAAATATACTTATCATATAGAGGATATGTTCTATAAGCCCTTTATGGGTTTTTAGCATTTTTTGCCAATTATTATTTATCAGGCATTAACATGCAAAATATCACCACCTGCCTCTTGTTACAGATGCCAAACATTGAATACCAACCACTGAACACCAAACATTGAATGCCGAACACCATCCACAAAAACGTTTGAGACCATAACAATATTTCACAACTTGTGATGGTGACATAGAAACTGTAAATGCAACAAAACTCAGGACACTCAGGAGTTTGGTATACATCTAGTCAAGATGGTAATAAATAGAGTAAGCCATCAAAGTCCAAATTAAAATACTGGCTGAATAAGGCATGCACAGTGGTATGGTGCCTTCATATGCATAACATATGAAAACTAAATGAACAGTGAAAAATCTTAAGGTTAACTTTTTCAATTTTTCTTTAATCAGGTTTGGGAGAATCAGATTTGTTATGTGGTTCAGAAAAAATCACAAGGGGGAACCCAGCTAAATTCCACTTGGTCTACTTTAGCATTTAACTAATAGTCAGAAAAAGTCAGCGTTCAATTTGGAAAAATTAACTCATTTGGACTGGCCTATGAACCTTATCTCATCTGTAGTTTGATATACAATTTAAACCTATGTAAATAGAACACCTTTAATACATTAAAATAAAGAGTTTCAGAGGTTGATTAACATTTATTCAATGGATCACTTGACTTTGAAATGTTCCATTTTCAGAGTATTTCTCTGGAGACATAAATATTCTAAAAGTTTTCTAATAGCTTTTCTGTATAAGCAGGCATGAAGGTCTTGATAAAGAATTCATTGCTTAGTTTATTCTCGTGGCAATGTCAAATGCATACCATATTCAATCTTATCACTTCCTTTGACATTTACATAAATCTACTTCCTCAAGTGTATTTACAATGTGTTAAATATTAAGCCTATTAAATACAAGTTAGAGATGTTACTCAAGATCTATTCAAATACTAAAGGAACTAAAACACTCATAAAAGTATATCAGGATCAGATTCAACAATCTGCACTTTTTCAAGTTAGGCCTTCGGGATTAGTTATCCGTTTAGCAGTACTTAGTGGGTCAATCAATAAACTTTATAGTGAAACCTTTTTCTCAACTGTGTAATGCATTGGTCACATTTGCTCCGATCCATCGGCTGGTGCCCGCCCGATTGAGTATTTTGTTCAATATTGCATTCAATTTTGAACAAAATACTCAATCGGTCGGGCTCCGTAGTGAAAATAAGTGAAAATGTGACCAGGGCATTAGGAACAATTTTATTTTTTATTTTCACATTTCTTTCAACGATTTCAGAACCAAATTTTGCTAATTCTATATCAGAAAAACAGACTATTTTGAAAATTTTCACTCACCTTGAGAAGGTTTCTTTTGTTATCAGGGTAGGTCCATCCAAGCTGAAACTCTCCTTGGCAGTTGACAGAGAAGGTCGTATTGACATTTGTAATCTTCTCAAAATTTCCTCCATCCAAAACAGGGGATGCATACTGTACATCTTGTCCTGAAAAATATAATAGTAAAACTGGTTAGAACTTGCAGAATGTCTTGGTGGTAGTATTGGCCATGAATTGACAATTAATGATGGGTGTACTTCTTGTGTCCCTCAAGTACCTATTCTGATACTTTTCACATCTTTCTGCCTTCAACTAGAAAGAAGCTAATAGAAGGCTATGATTTCTCATTTCGCCAAGTACATCAGCTAAAAAATAATTTTAATATTGGATATGTCACTTAATGGACCCAAAGCTGCTGTGCAATATAGCCCCCCTGGTGGTGGGTACAAGAAACTGAAATCTAGTAAATGGCAAAAGAACTGAGAAATAATTGAAGGACCATGGGTAGTATGTAGAAATGGCTAAGAATTCTGTATAAGTTTCATGAAAATATCCTGCAAAATTCATATAAAAGAATATCAAAATGCCTGTTATTGAAGATTATTATGCTACAAAAATCTGAACCATAAAAGTGATATACTTGTGATTTTTTATCATAGATCAATATTAAATTGTTATGAAAACATTATTCTATCATTACAAGATCTTCTGATTCACAATCGAGTTTTCACCTTAAGCTTAACACTAGTCTAGCTCCAAGCAAGCTCCTGTGACACCCCCCTCCCACTACTTGACTACACAGGTATGAATACTTCTGGTGAACTGTGTAATGGGGGGGGGGGGAACAAAGGATTGTAGCTAGACGAGTTAAACACTTCTGGAACACTTTTTTCTATCAAACTGGCCCTACATAAAAATGGCACTCTCCCAAATGTGAACAAACTTGAATTTTTATACCCTGTTCAAATCATGGCTAATTTGAACATGGTTAACTGTTTATACAATGTCAAGGTGACATTTTTCAGGTTGGTTATAATATTGATGTACAATATACATTGCTTTATTCCTATGTTAACAAATAGAGAGACTGGTGATCTCCCCATCATTGAAGCCACTTTGTGTCACATCCTGTAAAAAATTAGGGAATTGAAAATAAAATACATATATAGGGAAACCTGTGAAGTGGAATACCTTACAAGTGGAACACTTTTTAGAGTCTAAAGATCAATTGACTTAATGTTAAAGTGGAACACCTTACAAGTAGAACACTTTTTAGAGTCCCAAGATCAATTGACTTAATGATAAAGTGGAACCCCTTACAAGTGGAACACTTTTTAGAGTCCCAAGATCAATTGACTTAATGTTAAAGTGGAACAACATACAAGTGGAACTCTTTTTAGAGGTACCAAAGGTGCTCCACTTAAGACAGGTTTTACTGTATATCAAATCCAGTCGATATTCATAATATTATGCTTTAACATGTAACACCATAACTTTATCAAAATCATACACAATGCAGAACCAAAAAAACAAATTTTAATATTTATTTAAAATTTCCAAGAAACTTGCCTTCATCTAAAGGAGTTATCCTATTCCGTAGGTGAACCATACTCAATTCCAACTCTTCCTAGTAAAGTATATTACAGTTCCAGTATAAGGTATATATTTTTTAATACTCTTCAGGAGTCTACAATGGTCTCATCCCTTATTCTTGTAGTTACGTAATCTTATCAGTAACATATAATAGTCTATGTAAAATGCTAGAACAATCAGTTTTATCCTCGATAGAGTTCTGCCAATCTACCAGTTCTCATTTTAATTTGTAAGTCATTCCATAAATCATAAATTGTTACAGTTGATCCAGCATTCTGTTAAACCAGTATATTGCTAATAACATCCGTTTATATATTTCCGATTGAGTGATTGAATCATAAGATAGTTGAAATAATTTCTATTGGCTTCACTTGCCTATACTATAAGCGTGCGAGTATATGGTACCACAATGTTCATTTTGACATGTCGCTTTGTACATGTAATGTTTAGGCCTTAATTATCCATTCATTCATCATTTGTTCATGGATTGTATCGTAATGATAGTTGAAATGTTTATATTGTCAATTTGACTTGATTTCCTTTCCCCAATGCATTACTCTTTTTTGAACATGTAGATTTCTACTTCACAGGTGTATTGTAAGCTCGCTGTCCTATGAAATACAGTACACTTAAATAAAAACAAATAATTGAATAGATTTTGTTTAAATGTGGAAGTAAACCATGACTCCCCATCTGTATAAAAAGTGACGGATTTGCTTTAATACGAGAGATATATAGAGAGATTGACCACTTATTGAAAAATCAATAAAAGTTCACTTGTAGGAGCTGAGAGAAATTAGTGTATTAGGTAATATAAATCTTCACCAAATACAGTAAAACCTGTATTAGTGAACACCTCTCTCTAGTGAACACATTCTCTAGTAGACACCCTTCCTCTGGACATACTCTACAGACTTCTGTATAAATTAACATTTCTGTAGTGAACACCTACCAATAATGAACTTTTTTGGCAGAAAAATGTATCAATAATATACACAGGTTTTACTGTATTAAACAAGTAGTCAAGATATGTTTACAATTTAAAATGGTTGGTCTGCGAATGTGAATTTTTCACTCAGATTAACTCGAGTTAACTAAGTGCATAAACATAAGAATAGGTAGAATAACTGAACATGAAAGAATCACTAAATTCAGAAACTCAACATGTCCATCTACCCAAATAAAAAGTATAGTCTATAGCTATAAGCATTTGTGACATCCCCATCTCACATGACATCCCCACTTCATATGACATCCCCACTTCACATGACATCCCCATTTCACATGACATCCCCACTTCACATTCCAACACACCCCTGTGTGGGAAGGTGTGTTGTCAAGTAGAGGGGGTCTCAACTCAAGAACCTCAAGGGCTTGTAGAGAGACTACCGAAAGTACACAAAGCAAGGATACATATACAAGAAAGAATCAGCCACTGGCAAAGTTGTTATTGAATACTGTTATCTAGTAGGAAATGTATCTTCCTGAGAACAACATCCTATTGATGCTAATACTAAGATTCCAGTAGCTGTAAATGATAAAACATTCCCCTGAGAGGAATCTCCATGTAAATTCATCCAAATCAATGAAATGTTCCCGAAAATTTCTGATCTACATATAAAGTAAAATCTGACAGCAAAGACCTTACAGAATTATTACTAGTTTATTTCAGTCCAGTATGGATATATTATGAACTCCTGTTACATTCTCAATGTCAATAACTCTTTATGTGAACACTTCTCAATTTGAACACTTCTCAATGTGAACACAAGTTCTGGAAGTGTTTCCTTTATACAGGCTTTACTGCACTAAATACATATCCAGTTTCAGTATGAGAATGACATCAAGACTGTCAATAAAAATTGCATATAACCATTCCAATGATCACGTCTTTTATAACATATGGTACACAAAAAACCACCTCTCTTTTGATTCTCTCGTTGCGTTTGGTAAACAATCAAACTACAGTATACCAGACTCCTAATTCCAGTTCAGTATATTGGTATTGACTATCACTTATGTTCAACAGAATTGTATCTTTCAATCCAGCCAGTACATCCTTTGCAGGTCTTATATTTTTGAACATTTAGCCAATTTACATGCATAGCCTTAGAATATTCCAGGATTTTGGATGCATTCATCCGTAAGTACGCCTCTTAGACTAGACTCGTATTAATACATTGTACTATTTCAGAGGATGCAGTGCATATTCTCATTTATAATCCTCCCTTGGTACTACCTAACCCTTGAAGATCATTTCATTCTGACACTGCGTTATTAAACAGTTCCATCTTTTATAAATGTGGATGAAGCATAGTGATGGAATAATACTACAAAATTCATAATATTTATTTATATAATTTATATTCCCCAACCTCCCCAAAATTGTGCTTTAAGAAGGAGGAACAAACATAAAATCGAATTCTATTGGCCTTTTTTTTTTACAAGAAAGCACAACTTTGATGATGAGTGATTCATCTAGTAGCCCATGTTTTTTTTAATGTTAACCTTCATGATTATTTCACCCCATTTTTCTCAAAAATCTGATATTAATTACATAACTCTGCTATGGCTTGGTTATTTGGTTCGTTAACTTTATCTCTGGATGCTTTATTCCTTGCTAATTCCACTCTTACAGACTTCACATTCCTCTTGAAAATATACCTAATCTTCTTCCTTATGCCAACCACTTGGCTGATTCTTGAGATAAACAAAATTTTTGAACTGTGAATCCCATTTGGTATACAACACCTTTATCAGCAATTCCTACTTTGCGATATTCCATATTGATTCCACCCCTATCAATGCAAATCTCCTTTCGAAAATATGCCAATTTTAAATCTTTTAACCTACTATCTGTTCTTTGATTCTGGAGGTCAAAATGAAGAAAACTGGATTCTCACAATTTGCAGACCTTAAAAAACATATGATCCCCTTTCTCTCTCTGTTCTTCTATGTCAAGTAATAACACATGCAGTAAATTCGCATCTGTTTAGCTTCTTTCACACAAATTCTCAAAAACATGAATGCACTTTCTAAATCTCATAAACAACTGTGTAATTCAGAATCTGACTTTTATACCAGTTAAATCCATTTCTGTATGTATATAATCCATGTATGAAAGAATCAGTTTTTTTTTCTGCAACTAAACCGTGAGCATCTAGTTAGACATAGAATAACAGCAAGAGTATGAGAATGTGCAGTTCGAAGAGCCTATATTTCTTTGAACAATTTGTCTTCCGTTACTTGTAATAAGCAAGGAGAGGTTAGCATGCTTTCACAAAATCACATCTCTCTTAGGATAATTGCATGGTAACCTACATATACATGGGTGATAAATTAACTTTTAAAAATCTCTATCATGTATCCTGATATTTTATCATCATATCAAATTAGAGATTAAAAGATCTTTGGAGAAAAGTGTGTAATCAGGACCAGGATCAGGTGAGGCCAAAAAAATATAAGTGAGGCAAATACAGGCTAAAAGAGGTAAAATAGTACTTTTGAACTTCAAAGTTTTGTTCAAGCAACTGACAAAGGTTCTTTTAATTATGACATCATGGACTCCACCAAA